TAAAATCGGCATCAGTCCGGACTAGTACAAGCACAAGCAAGCAAGCGCGCACACACACACACACACGCGCGCGCGCGCGCATGCATGCATCCATGCACGTCGCAATGTACGTGCAATAATCTTGGACGCGACGTTACCCTATTTCACCTTACCTCCATTATGAATTTTGTAAATAGCACTGTCCCGTGACCATCTACTTTAATTTGGCAGCCATGGCCAGTGGAGAGATGGTCAGCTCGGGGTGGAGAGATGGTCAGTTACAACTGGTACAAAGTACAACTTAAAGTATCTGAAACACTGTCGTATTCCTCGAGATATGTATCAGTTCAGCGTATTTTTCACAATTTCTATAACCTGCCACCACTACAATGGAAGAGACCGCCTCCGTGGTCTAGTGGTAGAGCGTCCGCCCGAAGAGCGAAAAGGTCCGGGGTTCGATCCCCGGCCGCGTCATATCAAAAGACGTTAAAAGATGGTACTTGTTGTTATCCTGTCTGGCGCTCGGCATTAAGGGGCTAAAACAAGGACTGGTCGGCTCGGAGTCAGTATACTGTGTCTGAGTGGGGTATCCATGTTAAACTGCGGCATTGTATCTCAGTGAGCTAGCACTATAAATCGGCATCAGTCCGGACTAGTACAAGCAGCCACACACACACGTGCATGCAGGTCCCTATATAAGTGCAATAATCTTTGACGCGACGGTAAACCCAATTTCACCTCACCTCACCTACAATGAAAGACATCATGTTGAGTCCATGCAGTGGAAATATGTTTTGTTTGTTTGTTGTTGAACGCCGCACTCGAGTCCCATGCAAGTCTATAATAGTATAGCAACTCTAGATTTCTTCAGTTTCGGGTCAGGAAATGAAAAGATTCTCATGACTCCTTTATATAATAAAATACAATTTTAACCATGTTTTTTAACTACATGTACTTTCACAGTGAGTCAAGGTGTTAACTAAAAGTGCCACAGTTATAATTATATACCAATAATACTTTCACAAAGAAACAACACCTCAGATGTTGTGTTTGTTTGTTTGTTGTTTAAGGCCGCACTCCGCCATATTCCAGATATATGACGCCGGTCTGTAAATAATCGAGTCTGGACCAGATAATCCAGTGATTGACATCACAAGCATCGATCCACGCAATTGGGATACGATGACATGCATCAACCAAGTCAGCGAGCCTGACCACCAGATCCCGTTAGTCGCCTTTTACGGCTAGCACGTGTTGCTGAAGTCCTGCTTCTCCCCAGACCGTCACGTATGTAACATGCTGCGAAGAAATGAAATAAATATATCAATGGACGGTTATTTGATTCGTTCGTTTTAATATCAGTCTCAGCTAAAGGGCAAGGTAGTCAATAGTTTATGAGCACACAGACATTGTATCGATGTATGTCCTTCTGTGAAAGTAATTCCAAACAGGTGATCTCATTTTCATAATTGTCGGATCATGATTCTAATTTTATCGGGCTGGCTTATCGCATCGATAACACGAGCTATTAATGCTTCCTCATGAGACGAATTCAATGGGGAATGAAAGTGCCATAAAACGTGAGCCAAGCATGTCAACAGCTGCCCTAAGAAAACGATCCCGGCTACAAAGTTGATTTTGCTGAGGCATGTTCCTGTCTTAGAAAAGGTGAGGCGAGGTGAGGTGAAATTTGGTTTAACTTCGCGTCCAAGATTATTGCACATATATAGCGACGTGCATGCACGTGTATGTGGCTGCTTGTACTTGTCCGATTTATAGTGCTAGCTCACTGAGATACCATGCCGCAGTTTAACATGAATACCCCACTCAGATACAGTATACTGACTCCGAGCCGACCAGTCCTTGTTTTAGCCCCTTAATGCCGAGCGCCAGACAGGGTAACAACAAGAACCATCTTTTAACGTCTTTTGATATGACGCGGCCGGGGATCGAACCCCGGACCTTCCGCTCTCCGGGCGGACGCTCTACCACTAGACCACGGAGGCTGTCTTTTAGAAAAGGCGTCCTGACGTCAAGGACAATTTGTTTTTGTGTTTTCAACTTTGCGGGTGTTAATTAGTGTTCGCAATTTTATTAAAATCAGATCTTAGACCTCGCCACCTTCGCCAGATGGATAAAATGTGTGAAGCCCATTTCTGGTGTCCCGCGTCGTGATATTGCTGGAATATTGCAACAACAAAAATGGCGTAAAACCATACTCACTCACTCTTCACGAAGATCTGAGGACACGTCAGAACATTTCATCCGACCAATTGGAGCGTAGCTTACCAGATAAGGAAAGTGACAGTCGGAATGTTTTCTAATCATGCAACCTCGAAATGGCCAACACGGGTATTCCGAACGATAGCTACGAGCTGTATAACTGATTCCTAAAGCTGGACATGTAGCGGTGTATATTTTACGCAAAATGCGAACTTCGGGCGTTAACCGTGTTTCGAGGTTTGGTTGATTTTAACAACAACCTTTGTAAGCTGCCGTAATACTATCAATATTTGTCAGCATTTCTACTTGGGTTAATTTGCATCAGAGAAACCAACGGTGTTCAAATAACAAACCTCTTGTCAAACTCATCGTCTGTCTCTCGCTTCACTGGGACAAACATCTGAAACGGAAAAGACTTTCCACAGCCCGTGAGGTGAGGTGAAATGGGGTTTAACGTCGCGTCCAAGATTTTTGCACTTACATAGCGACGTGACGTGTGTGTGTGTGTGTGACTGCTTGCACTTGTCCGGACTGATGCCGATATTATAGTGCTAGCACATTGAGATACAATGTCGCAGTTTAACATGAATACCCCACTCAGACACAGTATACTGACCAGTCCTTGTTTTAGCCAGGCAGGGTAACAACAAGTACCATCTTTTAACGTCTTTTGGTATGACGCGGCCGGGGATTGAACCCCGGACCTTCCGCTCTACCACTAGACCACAGAGGCGGTCTCCATAGCCCTTTGGAACTACCGCCACACAATCTCGGCCATCTGTTAGAAATTCCAGAATATCGTTTTCAAATCCTAGTCTGGAATAGAAGTCTCTATTTTGAAGCCAGAGAAAGCTGCTTTCTGATTGGCTAATGTCGTCCTCCTGTTAGTCATATTCATTTGCCAGTTTAAGGTTCTTCCAGATGAAGCCTTAAAGATATGCATAGCATGTGCACGCGATTGTCCTTGGCCGAAGTCCCCTTCCGGATCAATTATTAAAGGTATGCTGTATCGATTGTTTTTTACCGCTAGGTGGTCGTTATGTCATACAACACGTTCTGCATGTGCTACCAGATCTCTCACTGTTATGTCCGATTAGTATATCGGGATTGTTTCACCAATTGCTGGTATGTTTTCCCGCTCACATTGTTCAGAGGCAAGGGGTGTTAACTGACTATACAAGTCCAGTTTCCACCGTTGCCGAACTACGCTGGAATTTCTGAGCTCAATCGCCTATTGACCAATCAGATTCCACCTCTCATATCACATGCATTTGCTTAAAACAAAATAACTGTGCCCAGTCAAGAATATCTGATCCATTAATCAAAATTTATATTGTGATAAAACGGGCCTTACATCGCGAATCGCATCAAATCACGTGAGCACTGAAAAACATAAAAAAGATTTTGAAAATATCTTTTGGCGCCGAGTTGGCCCAGTTGTCGAGGGCTGTGCAGAGTCGCGTCCCTTGAGCACGCCAGAAACCTATGATCGTGGGTTCGAATCCCAATTCGCCCCAGTTATGTTTCTAGGTTTGTCAGCACCATACTCGTACTCGTGGATTTTACAGAAGCGTAAACTTTTGAGACCCATATTAAACTAACACGCCGTGATATCACTGTATTACTGTTCAAGGCGGGGGCACGGGTGGCCCAGCCGTCTAAGGCGCCGCGATTCGCTGTGCAGAGTTGTATCCCTTGGGCACGCCAGAAACCTAGGATTGTGGGTTCGAATCCCGGCTCGCCCCAATTATGTTTCTAGGTCTGTCAGCACCATACCCGTGCTCGTGGGTTTCACCGAAGTGGTAAACGTCTGAGACCTGCATCACTTCGGCTTTCCGTGATATAACTGGAATAATGTTAAAAGCGGCGTTACACCCAACTCACTCACTCACTCGCTGTTCAAAGCGGCGTTAAACCCAACTCACTCATTTTACCACCACACAAAGATCTGAGGACATCCATTACAGGTTACGTCAGAACCTTAAAAGTCAGCAAGATAGGGAACCAGCTGCGTGTTGGCCAATAGGGCACGAACAAAGTCAGAGTTAGGTGACTGGTGGCTTCTACTTCCTGTAGGACCAGGGGAAGAAGGCCTGTGGGGGCCCTTCCAAACGGGATTGGCAACGCATCGTGATTCCAAGCCTGTTGGTCAGGGATGGGCAACGAGAAGTGTGATAGATGAGCTATGAAGCAGGTCGCAAAAAGATTTATCTCTTGGGGCAGATATAATTGGCAGATCCATTGGAAGGTCATCAGCAGTTGGTGATGGTCTGTCGGGTTGGGACAGGGAGTCTGCTATAACATTGGAGACCTCTGGGATGTGGCGGTTGTGGACGTGGACGTGGATGTTGAGAGAGTTGGATGAGTAGGAAGAACTCCAGAGCGATCAAGAGGAGCGACATCGACTTCGTGGATCCCATTCGGTTTATGTACCACACTACCGCAGTGTTGTCGGACTGTATCATGTGGTGAGAAGAGCGTAGGAACTCTGGCCAATATTCTCTAGGTTCAAACAATATGTCCACACACAGCGGCAATTATAAAGAGAATGAGATGGTAAAGAGACGCATGCATGAATACATAAATATTAGGTTAAATATTTCGATAAAAGGTTGCACTTGTGCATGTTTTATACAGCTAAATTGAGCCTCGGTAAACTGTTAACTATCAGGATTACATCTGAACTAAAACATACTTGAGGTTATATAAAACATACCTGAGGTTATAAAAGACATTGTGACTAATCAATGTTTGGGGTGGAGAGGTTTATTTTCCTCTGAAGAACAATGAACACAGAGTCTATTTCTCAAATATATTGAAATACAATAACTATCAATAGATATACAAATCTCAACAGGAAACCTCAAGCCACAAGCTCATTACGCTCACAATTACATATAATATTCAGGAGTCTAAATTCAATATGAAATGGCTAGTTCATTGTCTCGTGTCTTCGAGACAAACAAAATCCAGCGCAGATCATGGAGTCGCTCCCCTTCAGGTCAAGGGAGGTAAGTCTGGTGTGAATTAGCCAAGGGAGGTAACTCATGTCTACCTCTGCACCTGCAGCTGGACCAGTCGTGTGACCATGACCTTCCATCTGTCCTGCCAATCCTTATATGTGTGATTATCAACCTTTGCCCAAGGGACACAACTCTGCGCTGGCTGATCCCACCTGCAGAGGAAAGAGTGAGTGAGTGAGTATGGTTTTACGCCGCTTTTAGCAATATTCCAGCAATATCACGGTGGGGGACACCAGAATGCAGAGGAAAGAAACAAATTGGTCTTTGAAAGGCATTTAGAAGTGATACACATAAGGAAGAGTGAGTGAGTGAGTATGGTTTTACGCCGCTTTTAGCAATATTCCAGCAATATCACGGCAGGGGACACCAGAAATGGGCTTCACACATTGTACCCATGTCGGGAATCGAACCCGGGTCTTCGGCGTGATGAGCGAACGCTTTAACCACTAGGCTACCCGACCGCCCCCACATAAGGAAGAGGATATATGGATGTCAATTTCTTTATTATGAGGAACACAATGTTTCGGAGTATATGCTTACTCCTTCACCTGATAGAAGTAAGCATATGCTCCGAAACATTGTATTCCTCGTAATAAAGAAGTTGACATCCATATATTCTCTTCCTTAAGAAACAAATAGATAATCTCAACAAATATATCAACACAAGTCAATAAAGTCCTACAGTTGTCGAGTGTCTTGAGTGAAAAGATTACAGCTAAACAGCTTCAGTGGCAGAGGGACAAGTGGTGTCATTCGATTGCAAAACAATTTCCTTGCCGCAAAATCCTCCTTGAGATTGCTGGATCTCACTCAAGTAAATTATGTCCTGTGTCGCCTGAAAATATCACTCTGGGGCAGTACTGGATTTTAAGCTGAATGGATCTGTACACAAGACGCAAGTACATAAAGGCTTCATATGCTAAAGAATTAATTTCAGGTGAAATAGATGTGTGTGACAAATAGATCTGTCTTGCAATCGGACTCTCTGTTTGGAAAAAAATACAACGCTTTTATATCTGTACATGCCTGACAGATGAATTGTATTTTTTTAAACAAAATTGTTGCCGGTCAAACAGATAGGTGGATTCTTTAATAACTAATGACAAAGTACACACCAGTCTTGTAGAGCCGCATGTGCCTGGAGGGCGTCTCCGAGTCCGTCCCCGGCAAGGGCCAGCCTCTTGTTGAGAACAGGAAGTAGTCGCTCCACCTGCTTCCTGTCCTGCTCAGTGACAGCCGATCTGAGCTCTGGAAGAGGAAAGGGTACAGTGAGTTAGTTTTGTTTAACGATGCTTTGAAGAGGATATCAGTTATGGTGTGTGAGTGGGTGTGGGTGTGGGTGTATGCATGTGTGTACACACTAGTCCTGACAAACTTGGAAACATGATTGGTGTGACTGGGCGTGTGGGTGTTCGCATGCGTGTGTGAGTGGTTGTGCAAGTGTGTGCGTGTGTGTTTGGGGGGGGGGTAGGGCTGTCACGATTCACTTGCGTATTCAGTGAATCGAACCGTATCCATTCATGAATTGAATTTGTTATTCGTGGCCACTAGAATCGAATATTTATGAATATGCAAGCATGTGCATTCACATAAAAAAATACCCATAAGAACATATTTTATGCATAGATTTCTTTAAAAGACAACACTCTTATACTATTTAATCTGACAGTATTGTGGTCACTGGTCATTGTCGCATTTGAGCAGATACTAGCACCTGGATAAGTGCTGTATATAAATTAATAATACATTAATAATTAACAAACCATGTCAAACAATTTATGTTGTTATTGCTTCACTGAATATAACAAATAATACATCAACTGCTGACTTGTTGTTGTATTCGTGAATTAATATTCGTATTTGTTACCCTATATTCATGATACGAATCATATTCACCTCATTGTGTATTCGTTGCAGCCCTAGTGTGTGTGCGTGTGCGTGTGTGTGTGCCAGTGTGTGTGTGTGTGTGTGCCAGTGTGCGTGTGCGTGTGGGTGTGTGCGTGTGGGTGTGTGCGCGTGTCCGCGTTTGTGCGTGCGTGTGGGTGTGCCAGTGTGTGTGTGCGTGTGGGTGTGTGCGTGGGTGTGCGTTTGTGTAGACACGAGTCCTGACAAACCTTGAAACATGATCAGAGAGGGTGAGACCTGACCTCTCTGTCTCTTTGTCCTTGGCTGTTCCTGACTCAATCTGGACCCTGGCTAGGTGAGGTGCAATGGGGTTAAACGTCGCGTCCAAGACTATTGCACTTATATAGCGACGTGCATGTACGTGTGTGTGTTTGTGTGGCTGCTTGTACTAGTCCGGACTGATGCCGATTTATAGTGCTAGCTCACTGAGATACCATGCCACAGTTTAATTCCGAGCGCCAGACAGGGTAACAACAAGTACCATCTTTTAACGTCTGTTGGTACGATGCGGCCGGGGATTGAACCCCTGACCTTCCGCTCTACCACAAGACCACGGAAGCGGTCGGACCCTGGCTAGAGTTAGTCACATGAGTACACTGACTCCGAGCTGACCAGTCTTTGTTTTAGACCCTTAATAGGACACCATGATAGTTCTGACAAACCAAGGGTAATCATCATGAAGCAGATCCTGGGTGGACTAAGGGAGACAAGTCTGCAGTCTGTGACTAGAGCTTTTGGGCCTAGATGGCTCCCAGCATCACTCATGTGATTTGTTTGTTTGTTGTTTAACGCCGCACTCAACAATATTCCAGCTATATGACAGTGGTCTGTATGTAATCAAGTCTGGACCAGTCATTTCAGTGATTGACATTATGAGCATCGATCCTTGCAAGTGGGATACGATGATATGCATCAACCAAATCAGCGAGCCTGAACACCCAATCCTGTTAGTCGCCTCTTACGACAAGCACAGTCGCCTTGTAGGGCAAGCTGGGTTGCTGGAGACGTCACTTTTAACAGTATTCCGTAATGGGATGTCCTCAGATCTTTGTTTAGTGGCAGCAAGAACTTAGATCTGATTTTAATGAGATTGGGGCGAACCGTGATTCGAACCCACAATCATAGGTTTCTGTCGTGCCCAAGGGACGCAACTCTGCACAGTGAATCACGGCACCTTAGACGACTGGGACACCCGTGCCCCCTCAGTTCAGAAGAGTGAGTGAGTGAGTGAGTATGGTTTTACGCCGCTTTTAGCAATATTCCAGCAATATCACGGCGGGGGACACCAGAAATAGGCTTCACACATTGTACCCATGTCGGGAATCGAACCCGGGTCTTCGGCGTGACTAGCGAACGCTTTAACTACTAGGCTACCCGACCGCCCCCAGTTCAGGGGAACAGAATGCTCAGCCAAAGAAGGGAAACGTCTCAGTGCACCAAATTATACAACGAAAATGTATTAGTCACTCAACTATTAGTGCAGACCTCACACAACAGAGCAGAACCCATCACAACAGTGCAGAGTGTTGGGTGTAACATAATGATCAGTGATTGGATCATTGTCTCATAACAATGACATACTATTGGCCAAAAGTGCTTGCTGCATGCATGGCCCGAGGTCAGAATCCCAGACCACACCCAACAAAATGTAAAAACAAACAAAATTACTTCAGCACTTAATTCTAAAAAAGAAGCAGACTGGCTTCACTCTCTCTTACTATTATCTCAAAGTACTAAGAATTGTGAGTGAGTGAGTGAGTGAGTATGGTTTTACGCCGCTTTTAGCAATATTCCAGCAATATCACGGCGAGGGACACCAGAAATGGGCTTCACATATTGTACCCAGGTCGGGAATCGAACCTGGGTCTTCGGCGTGACGAGCGAACGCTTTAACCACTAGGCTACCCGACCGCCCCTCAAGTACTAAGAAGCAATGAATGAACCTAAATAAGAAATTAGAACAGTTGAGAACTTGAGAAAATTGGCAAGATCGTTTGAGTTTGTTTTGAGATATTCAAACCTCAAAGAACCCCGGATGCCTTATAATTATAAAAACTGGATGCCTTATAATTATCGGAAGAGTAACACCTTTGTTACCCTCCCGCTATCTTCGCTGCCACTATAAGCACCTTACCAGCTCATGACACATTCGTTACCCTCCTGATATCACGATCATTTTCATAACTGCTATGGGATTTCACTGAAGACAATCATTTTCTTATTACAGATACAGGTGTGGTTATCAGAAGAAGGGTTAACGCAGTGCAAACAAAACAAAAGTAAAACTTTCAAACAGCAGAGACGGAAAAATTACCATTAACTTTGGGTAGAATAATAGCTGAAAACATATAACAGCTGAAATCACTGGTTGACCTGCCTGGTGTCAGACATCAGAGCATAGCATGCCACTAATAATACACAATCTACAAGGATTTGATTGTTTGTTTGTTGTTTAGCACCACACTGAGCAATATTCAAGCTATATGACAGCGGTCTGTAAAATAATCGAGTCTGGACGAGACAATCCAGTGATTGACATCATGAGCATCGATCCACGCAATTGGGATCGATGACATGTATCAACCAAGTCAGCGAGCCTGACCACCCGATCCTGTGATTCGCCTTTTACGACAAGCATAGTCGCCTTTTACGTCAAGCATGGGTTGCTGAAGACCTATTCTACCCCGGATCTTCACGGGTCAATCTACAAGCAGCTTCCCGGCATGTGTCACCTTAGTCACCCTCCTGATATCATCTGTCACCTCAAGCACCTTCCCGGCATATGTCACCTTAGTCACCCTCCTGATATCATCTGTCACCTCAAGCACCTTCCCGGCATGTGTCACCTTAGTCACCCTCCTGATATCATCTGTCACCTCAAGCACCTTCCCGGCATGTGTCACCTTAGTCACCCTCCTGATATAATCTGTCACCTCAAGCACCTTCCCAGCATGTGTCACCTTAGTCACCCTCCTGATATCATCTGTCACCTCAAGCACCTTCCCGGCATGTGTCACCTTCGTCACCCTCCTGATATCATCTGTCACCTCAAGCACCTTCCCAGCATGTGTCACCTTAGTCACCCTCCTGATATCATCTGTCACCTCAAGCACCTTCCCAGCATGTGTCACCTTAGTCACCCTCCTGATATCATCTGTCACCTCAAGCACCTTCCCGGCATGTGTCACCTTCATCACCCTCCTGATATCATCTGTCACCTCAAGCACCTTCCCAGCATGTGTCACCTTAGTCACCCTCCTGATATCATCTGTCACCTCAAGCACCTTCCGGGCATGTGTCATCTTCGTCACCCTCCTGATATCATCTGTCACCTCTAGCACCTTCCCGGCATGTGTCACCTTCATCACCTTCCTGAAATCATCTGTCACCTCAAGCACCTTCCCGGCATGTGTCACCTTCGTCACCCTCCTGATATCATCTGTCACCTCAAGCACCTTACCAGCATGTGTCACCTTAGTCACCCTCCTGATATCATCTGTCACCTCAAGCACCTTCCCGGCATGTGTCACCTTCGTCACCCTCCAGATATCATCTGTCACCTCAAGCAACTTCCCAGCATGTGTCACCTTCATCACCCTCCTGATATCATCTGTCACCTCAAGCACCTTCCCGGCATGAGTCATTCGTCACCCTCCAGATATCATCTCTGTCACCTCAAGCACCTTCCGGGCATGTGTCACCTTCGTCACTCTCCTGATATCATCTCTGTCACCTCAAGCACCTTCCCAGCATGTGTCACCTTTGTTACCCTCCAGATATCATCTATGTCACCTCAAGCACCTTCCCAGGATGTGACACCTTCATAACTCTCCTGATATCATCTCTGTCACCTCAAGCACCTTCCCAGCATGTGTCACCTTTGTCACCCTTTTGATATCATCTGTCACCTCAAGCACCTTCCCGGCATGAGTCACCTTCGTCACCTTCCTGATATCATCTGTCACCTCAAGCACCTTCTCAGCATGTGTCACCTCCGTCACCCTCCTGATATCATCTCTGTCACCTCAAGCACCTTCCCGGCATGAGTCACCTTCGTCACCCTCCAGATATCATCTCTGTCACCTCAAGCACCTTCCGGGCATGTGTCACCTTCGTCACCCTCCTGATATCATCTCTGTCACCTCAAGCACCTTCCCAGCATGTGTCACCTTTGTTACCCTCCTGATATCATCTCTGTCACCTCAAGCACCTTCCCAGCGTGTGTCACCTTTGTCACCTTTATGATATCATCTGTCACCTCAAGCACCTTCCCGGCATGAGTCACCTTCGTCACCCTCCAGATATCATCTCTGTCACCTCAAGCACCTTCCCAGCATGTGACACCTTCGTAACCCTCCTGATATCATCTCTGTTACCTCAAGCACCTTCCCAGCGTGTGACACCTTCGTTACTCTCCTGATATCATCACTGCCACTACAAGCACCTTCCCAGGATGTGACACCTTCATCACCCTCCTGATATCACCTCTGTCACCTCAAGCACCTTCCCAGCGTGTGACACCTTCGTAACCCTCCTGATATCATCTGTCACCTCAAGCACCTTCCCAGCGTGTGACACCTTCGTTACTCTCCTGATATCATCACTGCCACTACAAGCACCTTCCCAGGATGTGACACCTCCGTTACCCTTCTGATATCATTGCTATCACCACAAGCAGCTTCACAGGGTGTGACACCTTAATTGCCCTCACTGTATCACTGTTGCCACCAGAGTGCACATGGCCATAACAAGTATCTTGAAATTTATAGCAATGACAATTTTCCAATATCCTATTATTTACCTGCAATATCCTCCAGTACATTGTCGTGATTGTGCCTGGACTTCCGGTCAGCCTGGTCCAGAGACTGGGTGATCTGCTCACTCAGCTTCATTTCTTGCATCACCTCCATACACCACGGCAATACACATTCCGGGGCCTGAACACAAACAAAGAATACACACTCCGGGGCCTGAACACAAACACCACGGCAATACACACTCCAGGGCCTGATCACAAACACCACGGCAATACACACTCCAGGGCCTGAACACAAACACAGAATACACACTCCAGGGCCTGATCACAAACACCACGGCAATACACACTCCAGGGCCTGAACACAAACAAAGAATACACACTCTGGGGCCTGAACACAAACACAGAATACACACTCCGGGGCCTGAACACAAACACAGAATACACACTCCAGGGCCTGAACACAAACACAGAATACACATTCCGGGGCCTGAACACAAACACCATGGCAATACACATTCCGGGGCCTGAACACAAACACAGAATACACATTCCGGGGCCTGAACACAAACACCACAGCAATACACACTCCGGGGCCTGAACACAAACACAGAATACACATTCCGGGGCCTGAACACAAACACCACAGCAATACACATTCCGGGGCCTGAACACAAACACAGAATACACACTCCGGGGCCTGAACACAAACACAGAATACACATTCCAGGGCCTGAACACAAACACAGAATACACATTCCGGGGCCTGAACACAAACACAGAATACACATTCCGGGGCCTGAACACAAACACCATGGCAATACACATTCCGGGGCCTGAACACAAACACAGAATACACATTCCGGGGCCTGAACACAAACACCACAGCAATACACACTCCGGGGCCTGAACACAAACACAGAATACACACTCCGGGGCCTGAACACAAACACATAATACACATTCCGGGGCCTGAACACAAACACAGAATACACACTCCGGGGCCTGAACACAAACACCACGGCAATACACACTCCGGGGCCTGAACACAAACACAGAATACACACTCGGGGGCCTCAACACAAACACAGAATACACATTCCGAGGCCTGAACACAAACACCATGGCAATACACACTCCAGGGCCTGAACACAAACACAGAATACACACTCCGGGGCCTGAACACAAACACAGAATACACACTCCTGGGCCTGAACACAAACACAGAATACCCACTCCGGGGCCTGAACACAAACACAGAATACACACTCCGGGGCCTGAACACAAACAGAGAATACCCACTCCGGGGCCTGAACACAAACACAAAATACACATTCCGGGGCCTGAACACAAACACAGAATACACATTCCGGGGCCTGAACACAAACACAGAATACACACTCCGGGACCTGAACACAAACACATAATACACACTTCGGGGCCTCAACACAAACACAGAATACACACTCCGGGGCCTCAACACAAACACCATGGCAATACACACTCCGGGGCCTGAACACAAACACCATGGCAATACACACTCCGGGGCCTGAACACAAACACAGGAATACACACTCCGGGGCCTGAAGACAAACACAGAATACACATTCCGGGGCCTGAACACAAACACAGAATACACACTCCGGGACCTGAACACAAACACATAATACACACTCCGGGGCCTCAACACAAACACAGAATACACACTCCGGGGCCTCAACACAAACACCATGGCAATACACACTCCGGGGCCTGAACACAAACACCATGGCAATACACACTCCGGGGCCTGAACACAAACACAGGAATACACACTCCGGGACCTGAAGACAAACACAGAATACACATTCCGGGGCCTCAACAACAAACAAAAGATTACACACTCAGGGGCCTCAACACAAACATAGAATACACTCACCAGGGCCTGAACACAAACACAAACACAGAACACACATTCCGGGGCCTGAACACAAACATAGAATACACTCACCAGGGCCTCAACACAAACACAAACACAGAACACACATTCCGGGGCCTGAACAATAAACACAGAATACACACTCCGGGGCCTGAACACAAACATAGAATACACACTCCGGGGCCTTGACACAAACACCATGGCAATACACACTCCGGGGCCTGAACACAAACACAGAATACACACTCCGGGGCCTGAACACAAACATAGAATACACACTCCGGGGCCTTGACACAAACACAGAACACACATTCCGGGGGCTGAACAATAAACACAGAATACATACTCCGGTGCCTGAACACAAACAGAGAATACACATTCCGGGGCCTGAAGACAAACAGGGCAATAACATGAATATCTGCCTCTGACAGTCAAGATAAATGCGTGTGAAGTCCCAATTTTTAACATGGTCACATCATCGTTGATCATAACCTTTTAACTGTCAAAAAAGAGTGACCAACCTTGTAGCTAGGGAAGTGTATGGCGTCCAGTGTCTTGTGGAGGGCAGGTCGGACCGATGCAACTGATGGGTGGTTAGTCTGGTGAACCGACAGGTTGAGGAGACCAACTTTGGTAGCCCTGAAACATGGAGAACAGCGATCGAGTGAGTGAGTGAGTGAGTGAGTGAACTTTACATTGCTCTTGGTGTCTCTTTCTTATAATCGGGGGGCATGGGTGGCCCAGTCGTCTAAGGCGCCGCGATTCGCTGTGCAGAATTGCGTCCCTTGGGCATGCCAGAAACATATGATTGTGGGTTCGAATCCTAGTTCGCCCCGATTATGTTTCTAGGTTTGTCAGCACCATACACATGCTCTTGGGTTTCAATGAAGTGGTAAACGTCTGAGACCTGCATCACTTCAGGCTTTCCTCCCACATGAAGCTGCCACACCGTGATATAACTGGCATACTGTTAAAAGCGGCGTTAAACCCAACTTACTCACTCTTATTATTGATCTCGGAGAAAATTTGGCCAAGACTTCACTGCCAACACAAATCAAACAGTCTAAGGTCGGATCATCGGCAGGGCTGTAAATTAGCTGTGTATTTGCCTAATGTGCATTAAATAAACTGAATAAATGCATACAAATCAAATTCATAGCATATAAAATGCAGTAAAAAATATAAAAAACACTATTGAAATAAAACTAATGCGTAGATAAACTGTTAGATAAAACGAGTGAGTAAAAGCTGATTGCGAAATTCATTTACCCACAGTTACAAATGTAAAGAAACACTTGGCAAAAAAAATAGAATACCCACAAATAATTGTGGATACCCAATAAAATATTAAAAAAACATAGGTCAAATACCCAAACAACCAAAAGTTTATCTAGAGCTCTCATCAGCTAAAATGTTGTAAAATGTTGATCTTTTCCAGCGACGTCATTCTTTCAACGTTGAATTCACGTAATTCAGATTAAGTGAGTAATAAATAAATAACTAATCTTGTTCCAGTTATCATGGTTATGTACAGTTTTTATTACAAGTTTCGCTTTATAGATATGTTTTAAAATACACTTCTTATCAAACTAATTTTGTTATTCTGTTTTTTGGTCATGACATCAACACGCTTCCTGTCCATATCACAATGCCATACATGTTACATGCTTCCATTTCTATACTCCTAACACCAAATTAGACAAGAAACCATGGCAACTGATCCATGCCCAATCTTACCCATCCAGGTACACATGTAACAGGTAGGGGAGTGACAGCACGCTGAATCTGTCAATCTCTGAGGCCACGCCTCCTTCCAGCTGATTGGTCAGTGCCCTGGTGTCGGCCAGATGAGTGGACAAGGACTTCTGTATGTACTGTTGAATCTGGGGGGACAAAATTGATTGATTGATTGATTGATTGATTGATTGATTGATTGATTGATTGATTGATTGATTGATTGAGAGAAACAACCAATTCACAAAGTCTGATGACTGATGTGAACAGTTGAGGGAAGTTGGGGGAAGTTGGGGGAAGTTGAGGGGAAGTTGGGGGGAGTTGGGGGGAGTTGGGGGAAGTTGGGGGGAAGTTGGGGGAAGTTGAGGGAAGTTGGGGGAAGTTGGGGGGAGTTGAGGGAAGTTGGGGGGAGTTGGGGGGAGTTGGGGGAAGTTGGGGGAAGTTGAGGGAAGTTGGAGGAAGTTGGGGAAAGTTGGGGGGAGTTGGGGGGAGTTGGGGGAAGTTGGGGGAATTTGGGGGAAGTTGGGGGAAGTTGAGGGAAGTTGGGGGAAGTTGGGGGAAGTTGGAGTCGGTTGAGATAAGATAGTGTCTGCATGTCATGATGACTGCGTACCTCCGCCTGCTGAGCAGTCAGTCGAGACTGAGCGTTGAGGTTCTGCTTGCTCAAAACTCTAATCAGGTTCTGCTTGGAGTCCTGGAATAGATAGATTCAGAGTGAGAAATCTTTGACTGATGTCAATGAATGTAGTTTTATGCCACAGTTTTCCAATTTTATCATGAAAACTTAGGTCCATGGGGAGACCAGCATGACCTACATGGGATCTAGCCTACCCAGATATGTCCATGGGGAGACAAGCATGACCTACATGGGACCTAGCCTACCCAGATATCTCCATGGGGAGACCAGCATGACCTACATGGGACCTAGCCTACCTAGATATCTCCATAGGGGGACCAGCATGACCTTCATGGGACCTAGCCTACCCAGATATCTCCATGGGGAGACCAGCATGACCTACATGGGACCTAGCCCACCTAGATATCTCCATGACCTACATGGGACCTAGTCTACCCAGATATCTACATGGGGAGATAAGCATGACCTACACGGTACCTAGCCTAGCTAGATATCTCCATAGGGAGACCAGCATGACCTACATGGGGCCTAGCCTACCTAGATATCTCCATGGGGAGACCAGCATGACCTACATGGGACCTAGCCTACCTAGATATCTCCATGACCTACATGGGACGTAGCCTACCCAGATATCTCCATGGGGAGACAAGCATGACCTACATGGGACCTAGCCTACCTAGATATCTCCATGGGGAGACCAGCATGACCTACTTGGGACCTAGCCTAGCTAGATATCTCCATGGGGAGACCAGCATGACCTACATGGGACCTAGCCTACCAAGATATCTCCATGGGGAGATAAGCATGACCTACATGGGACCTAGCCTAGCTAGATATCTCCATGGGGAGACCAGCATGACCTACATGGGACCTAGCCTACCAAGATATCTCCATAGGGAGACCAGCATGACCTACATGGAACCTAGCCTACCTAGATATCTCCATGGAGAGACCAGCATGACCTACATGGGACCTAGCCTACCAAGATATCTTCATGGGGAGACCAGCATGACCTACATGGGACCTAGCCTACCAAGATATCTCCATGGGGAGACCAGCATGACCTACATGGGACCTATTCTGCCCATGATCCCTTCAGGGAAATATGTTTATAGGGAGAAAAGCATGGAGTACGCAGAGCCTTTTGTGACTCTGAATCTAGGAGACATGCATGGAGTACACAGAGCCTTTTGTGACTCTGAATTTAGAAGACAAGCATGGAGTATGCAGAGCCTTTTGTGACTCTGAATTTAGGAGACAAGCATGGAGTATGCAGAGCCTTTTGTGACTCTGAATTTAGGAGACAAGCATGGAGTATGCAGAGCCTTTTGTGACTCTAAATCTAGGAGACATGCATGGAGTACGCAGAGCCTTTTGTGACTGAATTTAGGAGACAAGCATGGAGTACGCAGAGCCTTTTGTGACTCTGAATCTAGGAGACAAGCATGGAGTGCACAGAGCCTTTTGTGACTCTGAATTTAGGAGACAAGCATGGAGTACACAGAGCCTTTTGTGAGTCTGAATCTAGGAGACAAGCATGGAGTACACAGAGCCTTTTGTGACTGAATTTAGGAGACAAGCATGGAGTACGCAGAGCCTTGTGTGACTCTGAATCTAGGAGACAAGCATCGAGTACGCAGAGCCTTTTGTGACTCTGAATTTAGAAGGCAAGCATGGAGTATGCAGAGCCTTTTGTGACTGAATCTAGGAGACAAGCATGGAGTACGCAGAGCCATTTGTGACTCTGAATCTAGGAGACAAGCATGGAGTACACAGAGCCTTTTGTGACTCTGAATTTAGGAGACAAGCATGGAGATGTCAAATGCGTGGACAATTGAGAGGCTGATGCATTGACCAAGGTAATAATGTAGTGCTTTGAGCACACTTGAGGGAATGGATTGGGTGCATAATAAATGTGATTTTGATTATTATTGTTATCCATTCAAGAATGTGATACTTGGATCTATACTGCCCCTGGATCTGCAAGGGGAGACAATCCAAGGGTACTGGAAACCATTCTGCAACAGCTCGGTGCTACTCACTGCTATCTGCTGGAAGTCGTGTATTTTCTTGTACGCCAGGTGCATCTTCTGCCTGGCTTTCTGTGAAGATTCCATGTTCTCCTGGAGTCTGTCCTTTACGTCCAGCAGGGAGTACAGCGTGGCTCGGGCACGCATCACTTCCAGCTCACCGTCGATCACCTTCCTGGAACAACACACTAGCATTTAACTCACAGGCAGCTTCACAGCTCTCTGTACTCCGATGCATCTGTGACCAGTGCTGCAGCATGTGCAGTGTCCTGACCCGGTCTTCAACCAGGCTCCAGCTCACCGGGAATTAACTGAAAGTCCAGTTTCCACCCTTGCCGAACTTGGCTGGAATTTTTGTTATCAATCGTGGCGCTACCAGTGGCTATGACGAGTTATGTCCCTTCTATGTCCCTCCTATTGATTCCACTTCTCATGTCACTTGCATTTGCTTCAAACAAAATGGTGGCACCCAGTCAAGATGATCTGATCGATAATCAAGAGCTATGTTGTAATAAAACGGGTCTTAATTCGCATCAATGTGCATCAAATCATCTTTATTAAAAACATCTGTTCACGCCGAGTTGGCGGTACACATGCTTTGCAAATCCTGCAATCGAGCGAAATCTGCACGGCAATTTATGAACCTGATGTCGATTTTGTTTCGTGTTTTTACTGGATTATGGAAAGACTCGTTAGTTCAGCCAAAATATTACTCCAAAATTCCAGCCTAGTTCGGCGAGGTGGAAACTGGACTTATATAGTCAGTTAACTCCCTTTCCTCGGGAAGATGCCCGTCCTGTGAAAGCATCCTCAGTAATCCAGGGGACATTATGCCCATGATAATTGAAGACATAAACTATGAGAGGGAGTTGTTTATTGTACAATGAAACACTTCAGGGAGGATAAACAATGAGAAGCGTTTATTTTTTATATGAGATTTCAACAGTATCTACAGCCTCCTTAAGAACATTAATAAAATTGACAAGCTCAATAATATTTACCCGTATCGAAAAAATGGTGACTCCCTGAATACAATCTGATCTTGGCAATGTTGGAAAAGTTCATTAATGAACAGGGGGTTAAGTTTGGTATTTCTTGAATATTCTCACAAACACCAAACCAATTGACAGCCATTATCTGTACATTTTCTCCCATTACAGATTGCCAATTCTCACCCACTGATGGATGCGATTATTTAGCCACTGCGTTTATCTGAGTTGCCAGCTACATCTAAGCGGGGAAGTAACAACTCACTACCCTCTCAAAAATAGTGCCGTCCAATTTACGCAGTCATCAAATTGCAAGCGTATGTTGGAATTCCAGAAATGATGTCATGACTTTTTATCGTGAAATAAACCATACCTCTTCATGAATACTGGTATGAAGCAAGACAAGCGAAGTACTTGTGATACTGATTGTGATGACTGATAGGGTGGCTATTTGTAACATTGTGTCCCAGGAATGTTGGTGAATGGAGCCAGGTTACTGTATTCGAATTAATAAGCGCCCCACTCTTATAAGCGCCCATGATAGTTGCAAATATATTGGCTAGTAAACAATCCCAATTAGCACTTCCGATTGATCAATGTACATAAGACTTATTTATTCGTGTATAATACGCACTTATGTGTTATATGCACCCTTAATTATGGGCAATTAAATTCTGGAAAAATATATCTGTCGTGTATGATTCGCACATACTTTTCTTTTGTATCATTGCAGGTACATAAACATTGAAATTTAAGATCTTTCAACTCTTTTTTTTTCCACCAAAATTATATTCTAATAAGAGCCCCTAATTTCTAATTTTGAGAGCGCCCTGGGCGCTTATTACGTTGGATACGGTACTTTTTATTTATCCAAACAGAGCAGATGCCATACTGACTGTGCTAGCTGCAGCTCCCCGGCGCGGTCGGTGAATGTCCGTGTCAGCAGTTTCCTCAGCTTGTCCTGGAGGTTGCTATATTCTTGCTGTAGTTTGAAGGTCTGGTTGAGAGACTTCTCCGTCATCATGTAGTCATGGAGGTGACTCAGCTGACTCTCCTGGGACAGACAATGATTGATTGGTTGGTTGGTTGGTTGGTTGGTTGGTTGGTTGGTTGGTTGGTTGGTTGGTTGGTTGGTTGGTTGGTTGGTTGGTTGATTGATTGATTGATTGATTGATTGAGTGAGTGAGTGAGTGAGTGAGACCAGACCAGACCATCCAGTGATTGAAAACAAATCAACTGTCAACACTAATTTTTGTTTGCTGTTTAATGCTGCACTCAGCAATACTCCAGCTATATGACATGCATCAACCAAGCCAGCAAACCTGACCACCCGATCCCGTTTGTCGCCTCTTACGACAAGCATAGCTGCCTTTTCAAGCAAGCATGGGTTGCTGAAGACCTATTCTCACCTGGATCTTCACGGGTTTCCAAAATATCGGGGTACAATGACATGCTGTCAACCAAGTCATCAAATCTAACAATAGCACCGTTCTAAGGCCAGGCGTTTTATATTTATCGGATTACGGACCCGCCGACTCTAATCTTTGAGAAAATGTTAAAAAAATAAATCAGATTTCCATAATTTTTTCCCCGCCGATAGCCGCATAGTCAGTTATTTTATTTGTTATCATCACCTTTTAATAAAAAACATAGGAATTTACCATTGCAAACCAGTAAAGAGATACATAATCTCGAAGCCGAACATGAATAGCCTCCCTTGACAATTGTCCGAATTTGTATTGTTACTAGTGGCTTTATTGTCACAAATGGTGGTCTTTTGAGCACAGAATATGTTCATAAAGTATGCCAGAGGCATTCTGCATTAAAAAAAATAAAAAATTCTCTCCTCCAACCCTGGACTTTGGGCTGAAAAATCCCTAATCCTAAAAATGAAAAAAGCCTGGCCTAACCAGGAATCACTGATTGTGGCATGTAACCTGTGTGAAGAAAACACAATAATTGAACAATACAGGACCACTCTAGTGAGACCCACAAATCAAGATTTCGGTTGGTTTGTTGTTTAATGCCGCACTCAGCAATATTCCAGCTTTATGACAGTGGTCTGTAAATAATCGAGTCTGGACCAAACAATCCAGTGATTAATATCATGAGCATCAATCCACGCAACTGGGATCGATTACATTCAACCAAGTCAGAGAGCCTGACCACCCGATCCCGTTAGTCGCCTCTTACGACAAGCATAGTCACCTTTTACAGCAAGCATGGGTTGCTGAAGTCCAGTTCTACCCCGGAATCTTCAGGGGTCCAAGAACATAATCAGGGCATATGAATGATCACAGCATCCTGGTGCGTCCAAAGGACAAAACTCTGTTCCATATGTGTTTTAAGCTTGGTTTAATATAGTGAGTGAGTGAGTGAGTATGGTTTTGCGCCGCTTTTAGCAATATTCCAGCAATATCACGGCGGGGGACACCAGAAATGGGCTTCACACATTGTACCCATGTCGGGAATCGAACCCGGGTCTTCTGCGTGACGAGCGAACGCTTTAACCACTTGGCTACCCGACCGCCCCCTTGGTTTAATATAGAGAAATCCGCACATACCTCCAACAGCTGGTGGACAGACATCAGCAGTGGTTGCGAAGAGGACATGTCCTTCAGCTGACCTACTTTCTCAAACTTGAACCTGAATCAAACACAGTGAGTGAGTGAGTGAGTGAGTTGGGTTTAACACCGCTTTTAACAGTATTCCAGTTATATCGCGGCATGTCAGCTTAATGTGGGTGGAAAGCCCGAAGTGATGCAGGTCTCAGACGTTTACCACTTCGGTGAAACCCACGAGCACGGGTATGGTGCTGACAAACCTAGAAACATAATCGGGGCGAACCGGGATTCGTACACACAATCATAGGTTTCTGGCGTGCCCAAGGGACGTGAGTACCAAAATGGCTAATTAATGGCCATAAATAGATTTTTCAATGTCAAAAATTGGACATAAACTTCAGGTGTCTCTGAACCATATTCAGGCGTCACCATTGGTGGAAACAAGCATGTGCTTTCTGAGAAGATGACCTTGCCACTGACGACTGATAGGCAGGCTATGATATAAATTCACTTGGCTTTCAGTCAGGTGAGTTAACAGTTGAACTGGTTTTGATTTTATTTAAAAGAGTGAGTGAGTTGGGTTTAATGCCGCTTTTAACAGTATTCATATCCCCAGCAAATCTCAGAAATATGGGAAACATTTGGCCATAACTCACAAGATCCACTGCAGTAAAACTTGTCTGGTCTATAATCATATCCAGTATTGACTATTGTAACCATGGTAACTGCCTCTTTGTGAATGGAACCAAAGAGGAGAGGTGAAATTGGGTCTAGCGTTGTGTCCAAGATTATTGCACTTATATTCCGAGTGTGGCTGCTTGTACTATTCCGGGCTAATGCCAATTTTATAGTGCTAGCCCACAGAGATAGCATGCCGCAGTTTAACACGAATACCCCTTGTTTTAGCCCCTTAATGCCGAGTGCCAGGCAGGGTAACAACAAGTACCATCTTTTAACGTCTTTTGTTATGATGCACTCCGGGATCGAACCCCGAACCTTCTGCTCTCAAGTCAGATGTTCTAACGCTAGACCGGGGAGGCAGTCATGTAATCAAAGAGCAGATTAAAAGACTTATGGCCATCATGATCGGAGGACATCCCATTAGGGGTCACGTCAGAACAAACGGAAAATCTGAAATCTGCTTCCACTATTTTCACTTTCAAATATCAGCTTAAGACATTTCTGTTTCCACAATACTTACAGTTGCCAAAGCTCACAGAGCATATTTATTTTGAGAATTGCTGTGCTCTATAAATGCATGCATTATTATTATTATTTACAGATCAAAATAAATGCAGCAAAGAGGGTTTGGGTGATCCTGGTACAGACAGGCTGGTTAGGCTCATCATCAGCTCAGGGACCTTTCTCCCTCTACAAGCAGCCCAGACAGCAAATATGACTTCTCCCAGGAAGCGATGCCTAGTCAAACCCACCCCGAACTTTTCGGAAAATGTGTATCATCATCATCATCATCATCATCATCATCATCATCATCATATATCATCATCATTATTATTCAGCAGCAGCTGCAACCCACCTGAGTTTCTCTGCATCCTGCTTGATGTTGATGGCAAGCGTCTTCTCCCGGAGGGCCAGGGCAGACAGGTTGGTGTTGGTCACCAGACTGCTGACCAGCTGGCCGACGGTCAAGTCCGACAGAGTTGTCTCCACCTGGGTCCACAACCCTTGCTTTTTCTCATTACTGAAAATCAAGACAAAAATCAAAACACTGCAGACAGAACATAACATGTTTAGCCTGATCATCCCTGACTACAAGTACATCCGATGAGTGAGTGAGTTGGGTTTAACGCCACTTTTAACAGTATTACAGTTATATCGCGGCATGTCAGCTTAATGTGGGAGGAAAGCCACAAGTCTCGGACGTATACCACTTTGGTGTAACCCACTAGCAAGGGTATGGTGCTGACAAACCTAGAAACATAATCAGGGCGAACCGGGATTCGAACCCACAATCGTAGGTTTCTGGCATGCCTAAGGGACACAACTCTGCATAGCGAACATCCGATGATGACGGTGCACACTTACAAGGCTCTCTTGTCCCCAGCAAAGCTGCCCTTGAGAGTCTCATGAAGGAAGGCGCCGATGTTGCCGCAGGTCTCTCGTACTTGACGCTGAAGTAGTATCACATATAGGTGAGGTGAAATGGGGTTTAACATCTCATCCAAGATTATTGCAATTATATAGAGACGTGCATACGTGTGGGGCTGCTTGTACTAGTCCGGACTGATGCCGATTTATAGTGCTAGCCCACTGAGATACCATACCGCAGTTTAATATGAATACCCCACTCAGACACAGTATACTGACTCCGAGCCGACCAGTCCTTGTTTAAGCCCCTTATTGTCAAGCGCCAGACAGGGTAACAACAAGTACCATCTTATAATGTCTTTAGCCAGGGATCAAGCCCGGGACCTTCCGTTCTCTGGGCTCTACCACTAGACCACGGAGGCGGTCAGTCACACAAACACAGAGATGGAAACTACTGTCACACATTTTCTACATGTCACTTAACCCCAAAGACCTGGCATGCATCATCTATCAGTAGAATATGGCATGCATCTATCAGCATAATATGACATGCATTATCTATCAGAAGAAAATGGCATGCATCACCTATCAGTAGAATATGGCATGCAGTGTCTTTCAGTAGAATATGGCATGCATCTATCAGCATAATATGACATGCATTATCTATCAGAAGAAAATGGCATGCATCATCTATCAGTAGAATATGGCATGCAGTGTCTTTCAGTAGAATATGGCATGCATCTATCAGCATAATATGACATGCATTATCATCAGAAGGAAATGGCATGAAGTGTCTATCAGTTGAAAATGGCATGCATCATCTATCAGAAGAAAATGGCATGCATCATCAATCAGTAGAATATGGCATGTATCATCAATCAGTAGAATATGGCATGCAACATCTATCAGTAGAATATGGCATGTAACATCTATCAGTAGAATATGGCATGCATCATCAATCAGTAGAATATGGCATGCATCATCAATTAGTAGAATATGGCATGCAACATCCATCAGTAGAATATGGCATGCAACATCTATCAGTTGAATATGGCATGCAGTGTCTATAAGTAGAATATGGCATGCATCATCAATTAGTAGAATATGGCATGCAACATCCATCAGTAGAATATGGCATGCAACATCTATCAGTTGAATATGGCATGCAGTGTCTATAAGTAGAATATGGCATGTATCTGTTAGTAGAATATGGCATGCAGTGTCTATCAGTAGAATATGGCATGCAGTGTCTATCAGTAGAATATGGCATGCAGTGTCTATCAGTAGAATATGGCATGTATCTATAAGTAGACTGGCATGCAGTGTCTATCAGTAGAATATGGCATGTATCTATCAGTAAAATATGGCATGCAGTGTCTATCAGTAGAATATGGCATGCAGTGTCTATCAGTAGAATATGGCATGTAGTATCAATAAGTAGATCATCTCACACAGCTGACGGCCTCAAGTCCACTGTCTCCACCATTGCTGCCTCCAGCCAGGAACACTCGGGATTCACTGAAAAAGGGAAATAACAAGGTCATGTGTCAGTGCACAATGTAGGGAATAACAAGGTCATGTGTCAGTACACAATGTAGGGAAGAACAAGGTCATGTGTCAGTGCACAATGTAGGGAAGAACAAGGTCATGTGTCTGTGCACAATGTAGGGAAGAACAAGGTCATGTGTCTGTGCACAATGTAGGGAAGAACAAGGTCATGTGTCAGTACACAATGTAGGGAAGAACAAGGTCATGTGTCAGTACACAATGTAGGGAATAACAAGGTCATGTGTCAGTACACAATGTAGGGAAGAACAAGGTCATGTGTCAGTACACAATGTAGGGAAGAACAAGGTCATGTGTCAGTGCACAATGTAGGGAAGAACAAGGTCACGTGTCAGTACACAATGTAGGGAAGAACAAGGTCATGTGTCAGTACACAATGTAGGGAAGAACAAGGTCATGTGTCAGTGCACAATGTAGGGAATAACAAGGTCATGTGTCAGTACACAATGTAGGGAAGAACAAGGTCATGTGTCAGTGCACAATGTAGGGAATAACAAGGTCATGTGTCAGTACACAATGTAGGGAATAACAAGGTCATGTGTCGGTACACAATGTAGGGAAGAACAAGGTCATGTGTCGGTACACACTGTGCTTAAACTCCCAGTACTCTATTATCTATCAGTTACACCCACCTAGACTTGTTCACCAGAGACTGTACCCGGGCCTCAAGTCTGTGTTTGAACTCCTGATACTCTGCGACATTCTCCTTCTTGTGTTTGCTGTACACATGGAGCAGCCCAGTCCGCCGCTGCTTGTTCCTCAGGTCTTCACACCCACTGCGGTAGTTCCTCTCTGTTCAACACATCGGGGCTGGACGTTCAGGTGAGGTGAGGTGAAATGGGGTTTAACGTCGCGTCCAAGATTATTGCACTTATATAGCGATGTGCATGCACGTGTATGTGTGTGTGTGTGTGTGTGTGTGTGTGTGTGTGTGTGTGTGTGTGTTTGTGTGGCTGCTTGTACTAGTTCGGACTGATGCCGATTTATAGTGCTAGCACACTGAGATACCATGCCGCAGTTTAACATGGAAGCCCCACTCAGACACAGTATACTGACTCCGAGCCGACCAGTCCTTGTTTTAGCCCCTTAATCATGTGTTAATGCTGAGCGCCAGACAGGGTAACAACAAGTACCATCTTTTAACGTCTTTTGGTATGACGCGGCTGGGCATCGAACCCCGGACCTTCCGCTCTCCGGGTGGACGCTCTACCACTAGACCACGGAGGGGGTCCTTGACATTCAGGTATGTCAATATGTACAGTATGAAACAGTATCTTTGTTTTGTTGGTTTGTTGTTTAACGCCGCACTCAGCAATATTCCAGCTATATGACGGCGGTCTGTAAAATAATCGAGTCTGGACCAGACAATCCAGTGATTGACATCATGAGCATCGATCTACGCAATTAGGATCTACTAACCAAACAAGCACCATTAGCCCAGTGGAGTCGTCAAGATAAATGATATGCAGGCAATGGCATTGTTCAAAGTGAGTATTTATCATGTCTAGATATTATTAACAGAAGGTAAGTCAAAAGAAATCAATTATTTTTTTACAGTTAACAGTTGTCTCTCATGACTGGTCAACTATTTTTTTCAGTCCTAAATTAAACAAATAGTTGGCCAGTATTGAGTTATGAAGCTGATTACTGTGAATCATACATCCCAAGCGTAACAGGTCTCCTGCACACCAGGTCCCCAGCGTAACAGGTCTCCTGCACAAGAGGTCCCCAGCATACTAGGTCTACTGCACACGAGGTCCCAAGCGTAACAAGTCTCCTGCACACGAGGTCCCCAGCGTAACAGGTCTCCTGCACACGAGGTCCCCAGCATACTAGGTCTCCTGCACACAAGGTCCCCAGCGTAACAGGTCTCCTTCACACGAGGTTCCCAGAGTAACAGGTCTCCTGCGCACGAGGTCCCCAGCGTAACAGGTCTCCAGCACACGAGGTCCTCAGCATACTAGGTCTCCTGCACACGAGGTTCCCAGAGTAACAGGTCTCCTGCACACGAGGTCCCCAGCACAACAGGTCTCCTGCACACGAGGTTCCCAGCGTAACAGGTCTCCTGCACAAGAGGTCCCCAGCGTAACAGGTCTCTTCCACACGAGGTCCCCAGCGTAACAGGTCTCCTGCACACGAGGTCCCCAGCACAACAGGTCTCCTGCACACGAGGTTCCCAGCGTAACAGGTCTCCTGCACAAGAGGTCCCCAGCGTAACAGGTCTCTTCCACACGAGGTCCCCAGCGTAACAGGTCTCCTGCACACGAGGTCCCCAGCACAACAGGTCTCCTGCAAACGAGGTTCCCAGCATAACAGGTCTCCTGCACAAGAGGTCCCCAGCGTAACAGGTCTCTTCCACACGAGGTCCCCAGCGTAACAGGTCTCTTCCACACGAGGTCCCCAGCGTAACAGGTCTCCTGCACACGAGGTCCCCAGCACAACAGGTCTCCTGCACACGAGGTCCCCAGCGTAACAGGTCTCCTGCAAACGAGGTTCCCAGCATAACAGGTCTCCTGCACAAGAGGTCCCCAGCGTAACAGGTCTCTTCCACACGAGGTCCCCAGCGTAACAGGTCTCTTCCACACGAGGTCCCCAGCGTAACAGGTCTCCTGCACACGAGGTCCCCAGCACAACAGGTCTCCTGCACACGAGGTCCCCAGCGTAACAGGTCTCCTGCACACGAGGTCCCCAGCGTAACAGGTCTCCTGCACACGAGGTCCCCAGCGTAACAGGTCTCCTGCACACGAGGTCCCCAGCATAACAGGTCTCCTGCACACGAGGTCCCCAGCATAACAGGTCACCTGCACACGAGGTCCCCAGCGTAACAGTCTCCTGCACAAGAGGTCCCCATCATAACAGGTCACCTGCACACAAGGTCCCCAGCGGAACAGGTCTCCTGCACACGAGGTCTCCTGCGTAACAGGTCTCCTGCACATGAGATCCCCAGCACAACAGGTCACCTGCACACGAGGTCCCCAGCATAACAGGTCTCCTGCACATGAGATCCCCAGCATAACAGGTCTCCTGCACACGAGGTCCCCAGTGTAACAGGTCTCCTGCACATGAGGTCCCCAGCATAACAGGTCTCCTGCACACAAGAGGTCCCCAGCACACATAGCTTACGCCAAAATTGTTAAGATTGGCATCTCTATAATTCCACTGTAGGACATCCACTAGTGTAAAACATCTTTGTCATATTCACAATAGCCTCAAAGGTGACATTGACCTTTGACATAATAAATACAAATGAAAACTGATGTGGTAGGATTTTTTTTAAGAAACATGAAAACATAAATTTCAATGCCTGCAGAGAAAAATGTGCCTCAGAAACTGACACTAACCATGTTTTACCACACAATTAACACAGACTCTGACCTTTGACAAAACTATTCATAAGGCAAGGTCCCATTCAAGAGAAGTTACTTACCAAGTGACCCGTGGAGATCCGGGGAAGAATAGGTCTTCAGCAACCCATGCTTGCCGTAAAAGGTGACTATGCTTGCCGTAAAAGGTGACTATGTTTGTCGTAAAAGGTGACTATGTTTGTCGTAAAAGGCGACTAACGGGATCAGCTTGTCAGGCTCGATGACTTGTTTGATGCATGTCATTGATCCCAATTGCATGGATCGATGCTCATGATATTAATCACTGGATTGTCTGGTCCAGACTCGATTATGTACAGACCGCCGTCATATAGCTGGAATATTGCTGAGTGCGGCGTTAAACAACAAACCAACCAACCAACCAACCAACTTACCAAGTTTTATGCAAATAAGCTTGGAGAATGTGTAACCCCAGATTTTTCTATCTCGTGACCATGACCTTTGAATCTTTGTGCCAAAAGAATTCCCCAGGGTCATAAAAGAAGACAATGGAGTGAGTGAGTGAGTGAGTGAGTGAGTGAGTGAGTGAGTGAGTGAGTGAGTGAGTGAGTTTAACGCCACTTTTAGCAATATTCCAGCAATATCGCGGCGGAGGACACCAGAAATGGCCTTCACACATTATACCCATGTCGGGAATCGAACCCGGGTCTTCGGCGTGACGAGCAAACGCTTTAACCATAAGGCTACCCCACCGCCCCAAGAAGCCAATGGAAAAGTAAGACCTAATGTAAATAATCTTTGTGAGGACGGCCCGATAACAATCCCTGGCATGGGTCACACTATAACAAACATTAAAGAAGTCCCCCTTTAACACGGCTGCAACTCATGCTGATGCCAATTTAACCCTAAATCAATTTTCATTTCATTGACTCAATATTAGTCGACTAAACTAAGTGATGCTTCACACAGACCTGTTTGTATCGTCTCTCTTTCAAGTCTCTTCAGATCCTTCTCTATATGACTGATGTCGGAGAGACACTGGGTTACCTCCCTTGTCAGCTGAACTCGTCGCTCTGCTAGGGCCTCCTGCTCATCACTGTGTGAAGTTCGGCTGTCCGAGGAGTTCTTCAGGTGCCTCTGGTCGCGACTGAGTGCATGGTTAAGGTGGCAACAAGTGATGATCATCATCACAAACAAGGAGTGAGTGAGTGAGTTGGGTTTAATGCCACTTCCTTACGCCAGGGATTCCTTACATTCAAATAATAACAAAGCCAAAAGGAATCTAGGATCTCCTGTATTTCGAAACAATGTTGTGATATCCTTGACCAGGGAGTTCACTGGATTAATAAATGCAATCTGTGTATCATTTTATCGGACACAAAATTTTGCGTGAAATATAATAGATGCAAATAATAGTAATAGCCACTGGTGGTGCTTGTGAAGCCCAGACATTCCAGCTGCTAATCTCACTAAAATAATATCTTTTATTCTGTTACAATATCTCTGTGTGTGAAGATCTGAACACACATCTATAGGATGAGATAGCTTAAAAATACAAAGTACTTTGAGTTGCGTGTGGTCATTATTCCGATTCAGTTTGGCGACTGTGTTAAGCAGGATGATGACCACATAAAAAATACCACATAGGCTGCATTTGATCTGATTCCAACTCTGACAGAGCCATTGTGGACTCTTGTGATTACTTGGCCGACAGTCTGCAGTTTTTACAAGTCTTCCCTGCTGGACGAACAACTGCTTTAGGATACAGAGCCAGATTTCCTTTCACTTTCTTCACTGTCCTGTAACCGAGAAACAACCTGTCGAGGATTGGATGCCATAGCAGTGTGAATGTGTGTGTGTGTGTGTGTGTGTGTGTGTGTGTGTGTGTGTGTGTGTGTGTGTGTGTGTGTGTGTGTGTGTGTGTGTGAGTGATTGAGTGAGTGAGAGGGTGAGTGGTGGTGGGGTATGTGTGTGTGTGTGGTGTGTGTGTGTGTGTGTGTGTGAGAGAGTGTGTGAGATGGTGTGTGTGTGTGATTGAGTGAGTGAGTGGGTGAATGGGGATGGGGTATGTGAGTGTGTGTTTATGTGGGGTGAGAGGGTGTGTGGGTGTGAGCATGGGTGGGTGAAGGTGTAGGTGTGGTATGTGAGTGTGGGTGGATGTGTGTGAGTGTGTGTGTGTGTGTGTGTGTGTGTGTGAGGGGGAAGGGATGTGAGTGGAGAAGTGTGTGGGTATGGGTGAGTGTGGGTTTGGGTTAGTGAGTGCGCGTGGAGTGAGGTGAAATGCCAATTGCAACAGTATTTCAGTAACATCACTGAGTTTGGGAGAAGATCATGTGCAAAGCGAGAAACACAGAATCCAGTACGAGTAAGGTACACAACTCTGCAGTGTGGGATAAGTGAAGGACTTACTGCACTGAGTGGACACGGCTGAGGATGAACTTCCACACATCCACTGTCGACCCCCGACAGATCCTGAAAAATATTATCAACCTATCAGTTCGGACAGGGTTCCAGGGTGGTTTATTAGCTAGGACATTGACTGATTGACATCCAAAATGTCCTAAAAAAATTCTCAAATTGGTAATGACACTGAAGAAATCAAAATCTCATAAAATCAACAAAATAATGAACATGTGCTAATGCCATTTTTCTAAAGAAAAACCCATTGGGGGTTTACATTATGATTTAAGCATGTTAAGTGTGCCAACCAGAATAATACATTTCAATGAAAAAAAAAAAGAAGGTTATTTGAAAATCTCTTTCCCAAAAGTTTGGAATTGGAACCAATGTCGCCAGTCTATGCTTGTGGTGTCAGTAAGAGGTGACTAAATCATGTAAATGCTTCTGGGTAGAATATAGGTCCCCAGCAACCTATGCTTGTGGTGTCAGTAAGAGGTGACTAAATCATGGAAATGCTTCTGGGTAGAATATAGGTCCCCAGCAACCTATGCTTGTGGTGTCAGTAAGAGGTGACTAAATCATGTAAATGATTCAGGGTAGTATATAGGTCCGCAGCAACCTATGCTTGTGGTGTCAGTAAGAGGTGACTAAATCATGTAAATGATTCAGGGTAGTATATAGGTCCCCAGCAACCTATGCTTGTGGTGTCAGTAAGAGGTGACTAAATCATGTAAATGATTCAGGGTAGTATATAGGTCCCCAGCAACCTATGCTTGAGGTATCAGGCCTCAAAGTTGCGGCTAAAATGGTCGCCAATGCAATCTAAATTTCAATTTGTCTACTGTCTAAATTTCAGAGGAAGACGAATGACTACCTTGAAAAATATCTTGTGGCGACTACATTCTATTGCTACAGGTTGTAGACACAAAAATAAACATGTCTGCTACTAATTGTACTCGCAAATAATTCCTCCTAAACCCAACAATGAACCGAAATACATCAATATTAATTTAATTAGTATTTTATTTTAGTTAATAGTTTTTTTGAGAAGCAAGGATATACCTATATAATCTAGTAACATAAATTGCATCATTGTTCGAGTCACAAATAACAAAACTCAAGTACAGTTTCCACTAATATACAATTCCAAGACTAGTGCTACGACTTGTACATATAATAGTTATTTGATCAAAGATAATTTCAAATCTTTTGGCTACCTACACGATTGGCTTGACTTCTTGATTGACCACTATGGCTACTTGGTAAAAATTTAAACTTTGAAGCCTGCATATTGGATCAGGTGGTTATTGATAAATGTTCGTTCACAAAATTAGTGAGTGAGTGAGTATGGCTTTTCGCCGCTTTTAGCAATATTCCAGCAATATCACAGCGGGGGACACCAGAAATGGGCTTCACACATTGTACCCATGTCGGGAATCGAATCTGGGTCTTCGGCATGACGAGCGAACACTTTAACCACTAGACTGCCCGACCGCCCCTTTCACAAAAGTAATAAATGAACACACTTTATGCAAAGTATGAATCATTAAAATATATAAACAGGCATGCAAACTGTTTTGCATAAAACATTGGAGTGATTGGAACAAGTTTGTGTTTGTTTGTTGTTAACGTTGCACTCAGTAACATTCCAGCTAAACGACAGCAGCCTGGAAATAATTGAGTCAACCAAGTAACCCAAACTGACCACCTGATCCATTTGACACCTCTTGTGACCAGCATGGGTTGCTATGGAGCTGTTCTAACCTGTAGTCCCTACAGGTCTGTTAATCATTGAGCGTGGACCAGACAATCCAGTGATTGATATCATGAGCATCGATCACGCAATCAGGATACAATGACATGCATCTACCAAGTCAGCGAGCCTGACCCCCCGATCCCGTGAGTCGCCTCTTAGTCTTATGACAAGCATAGTCGCCACTTATGACAAGCTTATAAACCTATTCATTGGGATCGCTATTAAGTAAGAGACTTCTTTCTATAGGCATTAAAACCTAATGTGAGGTTTTACTTTCCAGTCGGGTTAAATCTCATAAACAGGGACGTTGTAATGTCCCTGGAATTTTATATAATATCCCAGGGATTTTATAGGATATTCAAGTCATATTTGCTGTAATATCCCAGGGATTTTATATAATGTCCTGGGTGTTTTATTAATGTAACTTCTGTTCAGATTGTAACATGTAATGAAATGTAAAATCAAACGACAAATGTTTTCTTTATATTCCTGAGGATCGAACTTGCAACCTTCATATCTGCAGCCCAGTGAGTGTACCACGAGGCTACAGATATGTTGATAAGCCACACTGGTTTTTAGAATGTCCTTTTCAAGATCCGTACGCCAGCAACAGATATTTTACGCGCGTTTCCTTAGGTTCATGGAAAGTATGTTAGAAACATAAAAATGTTGATAAATGTTGTTTTAAGTTTCTTTTTTCGGTTTATAAGCATGGAAAAACACTTTCCCTTGGTTTTGGTAGACAGAGCTTCGCCCCCTTGGTTTTTCCCTCTCCCCAGGGCATGCTCTGTCTACCAAAACCTCGTGAGCGTGTTTTCTCCAATACATAAACCCTTCTTATGACAACCAGTGAGCCTGACCACCCGATCCCATGAGTCGCCTCTTAGTCTTCTGACAAGCATAGTTGCCTGTTATGACAAGCATAGTTGCCTCTTACCACAACCATAGGACAAGCACAGTCACCAGTTATGACAAGCATAGCTGCCTCTTACGACAAGAATAGTCAGCTATCCCGTTTTCTGGTAATTACTAGTTTTTCGTAGGTGAAATTAGTTTGGACCGGTAATTCATGTCAGTCCCTGTGGACCAGCAAATAAAGTACATTTTAAATCTTTAATGTTGAACAAGACAATGGCGATATTAGTATACCGTATTCGACATAATAAGCGCTCAGGGCGCTTTCAAAATTAGAAATCGGGGGCTCTTATTGAAATATTATTTGAGTGAAATAAACTGAGTTGAAAGATAAATTTCGTGGTTTATGCTGACAGCCTAAAATGTTTATGTACGACAGATATATATTTCCAGAATCCAATTGCCCATAATGAAGGGTGCATATAACACACGAGTGCGTATTATACGCGAATAAATAAGCCTTCTGTACATTGATCAATCGGAAGGGGTGCTAATTGGGATTGTTCACTGGCCAATATATTAGCAAATATCGCCGTAGGCGCTTATTAGAGCAGGGCGCTTATTACGTCGAATACGGTAAGCATATATTTCAAACAAAGTCAGCTTGTCTGTAACCATCTAGGTTTCCCCTTGTCAGTTTTTGGTAGACGGAAAAAACATTTCGCTTTGCTCGGGGTTAAAAGTATATTTGTTGAGACTTCGTCTTGATATATTTGAAAAAGGGAGACAATTGAGTCTGTGAGCAGCTGGTATAATCTGAGGTATGGAGAGTTATGTACCCTTTGATTTCATCCGGTGAAGGTAGATTAGTTCCCGGGGGTGGGGCAAAGTGCATCTCCTGTGTCAGCCATGTGTGTAGCTTGTGAGGGATATCCTTGTCTGACATCTTACAAACACCTGCAACATATTAAATCATTCATAACAAAAGACAGAGCTGAATAAGGTTCGTTTTCGTTTGTGTTTCCATAAACCGAAAAAACATTAGGAGACGTCCACAAAAACAACTACTGTTTCTTGATTGGTTGACAATGAAAAGGGCGGGGCTTGTGTTGCATTATTGTGCTGAATGATGTCGCTGATTTCGTATTGTTTAATCTTTATGTGTTAATGATTAATAGAGCTGAGTACGGCTTCGTATCCTGCGATAAAGGTTTTATCACGATATGGACTGCCAATACTATAGGGATCACAATACACTACATCAAATAGTAAGAAATCACTAAAATACAGCTCTAAAACCCTTTTCTTCATACATTTATCTCAAAAACATTAACAATGAAAACCACAAGAACAAAACAGGATGTAACTCTATTACTAGAATTACCGTATTCAACGTAATAAGCGCCCCGCTCTAATAAGCGCCCATGACGATATTTGCTAATATATTGGCTACTGAACAATCCCGATTAGCACCCCTTCCGATTGATCAATGTACACATGACTTATTTATTTGTGTATAATACGCACTGGTGTGTTAAATGCACCCTTATTTATCATATGGGCAATAAAATTCTGGAAAAAATATTTTTTGTACATAAACATTTCAGGCTGTCAGCAGCAACCACAAAATTTAACTTTCAAATTTTTATCTCACCAAAATAACATTCTAATAAGAGCCCCCTATTTCTAATTTTGAGAGCGCCCAGGGAGCTTATTACGTCGAATACGGTAGTTCCTGATCTGTTTATAGCACATCGCGATCTCACACACTGACGATTCAAGTATCGTGTGCACCTAAGTATCGATGACATTATAGGTATTGGTGAATCGTTACAGCCCTAATAATAAATAAGAAGTCTGTGCAGTTATTATTGGTCCGAAATGTATATATACTGTATACAAACATCGCAAATGCACGGTTAAATTTGTTTGTTTGTTGTTTAATGCACACTCAGCAATGTTCTAGCTCTATGATGCGTTCTGTAAATAATCAAGTCTGGACCCGACAATACAGTGATTGACATCATGAGCTTCGATCTACATAATTGGGATCCAGTGACATGCATCAACCCAGTCAGTCAGCCTGACCACCCAATCCCGTTAGTAGCCTCTTACGACAAGCAAAGTCGCCTTTTTGAGCAAGCATTCTATTTTCTGTCTGCCTGTGACTAATGTAGAATGTAGAAAAGTTATACTGGTTATCCCCCTTTCTTAAAAAGAGGTCTCAGGTCACTATCTTGTCATGACTCAAATCCTCCAAATCCATTTCGTTGGACAACTATTCATTAGCTTTGAGAATGTTTCCCTAACGTGTTTCGACAACTCCTGCAGCGCTTTGAACAACACATGATTGTTACAGACAGTGTCGCATATTGTCGGCGAACCTGGTGTAAAATACACCAACCTGTGGAACATTTCTGTCTTTCGGTATACCCCTGACTATATACAGAAACAATGCATAAAACAAATAACCGGATGAATTTACCATGCACCGAGAATTCACAAATATACTCTGTCGCTGTCGCTGTCTACGTGAATTTCAGAATTGCCGCCATCTTTTTCGAAACCCATTTCCGGTTGTTCGGATTTTATGTCACTCGCACAAATTTACCGGACGGAACCAGAACGTTTATTTCTCCTGTTTGGTGAATCGTACGTTTATGCACGGACCTATACAAGTCCGTGGTTTATGCAAAGATGAAGTTCTCAAAGTACATTTTATTTGGACTACACTTGATCGTGTGCGGAGTGGATTAATTCAAATAATTCCAACCGCATTTTATGTTATATATCATATGTAATAAAAATAACTTTCATAATTACCGATTATCCAGCTTATGCTGTCAGTGTCTCCTCACATAATCTCCAATGACACGAATAACAAAGTTATAAAGCTATTACTTGTATTTTACTTATTATGTAGCGTCAATAAATATCATTGCTGTTTTCCTAATACCGTATTCAACATAAAGCGTCCATCTCTAGAAAGCGCCCACGGCGATATTTGCTAATATATTGGCTAGTGAACAATCCCAATTAGCACCCCTTCCGATTGATCAATGTACCTGTTATTTATTCGTGTATAATACACACTTGTGTTTTATATGCACCCTTAATTATGGGCAATTAAATTCTTGACATTACATCTGCACAATTAAGATCTATTTATTGTCTTTGGTGGTAATTTATACAGAAATAAAGATTTTTTTCGAAATAAGAAGGAGGGTGGAATATTGCTAAAAGCGGCGTAAAACCATACTCACTCACTCACTGTATCCGCCCATGAGATTTAATGATAATGCTTTCATAAACTAGTGTTGGTGAAAAAACGAACCACCGCTGACTATTGTATTGGCAAGATCTCATTCGTCACCTGTTCGCACCCGTGAAGATTCCGGGGTAGAATAGGTCCTCAGCAACCCATGCTTACCGTAAAAGGCGACTATGCTTGTCGTAAGAGGCGACTAACGGGATCGGGTGGTCAGGCTCGCTGACTTGGTTGATGCATGTCCTCGTATCCCAATTGCATAGATCGATGCACTGGATTGTCTGGTCCAGACTTGATTATTTACAGAATGGGGCAACTGGATTTTTTTATATATAGAAAACAGTTTTATTTGAATCATGAAAATACAAGCTAGGGACAAGTGATACTTGTACAAATATATGCCCCCTCCCCGTCAAAAATAGTTAACTATACGGCCTTGTGTACCAGCTGTTAACCGATGCAATGTACACGAGAACGGGCCCTTTAATAATCAACATTATGTCGGCTATCCAGAATTTTATAAAAGCAGCAAAACTAATAATAAAACATCGCCATGACATGAAAGCATGATCAAGTAATTATATTTTTTTGTTATTTTAAATTATCAAAAAAGAACTGTCGGATGTGAAGTCTTTGCACAAACAATCTTCCGAATCAGAGTGAATGGAACTACGTACAGTATATACATTAAAAAAGAATCTGATCTGGATATGTCATTAATATAAATCATCATCTCTTTTTGTAAATGATGCATTGAATATTTATACAATAACATACATCTACACAAACATAAGAAATAAAACTAGCGGAGTGAGCAAATTGGCTGTCCCCGAACTCCAAACATGATGTGTTTATCGATTCTACATTGGGTATCCCTCTAAGGCTCTTCACAGTGTTATCGAGTTCCCAACTCATACGAATAATACAAAGCGCTACCTTGCAAGCAATGCATGGAGCTTACTTCCGATAATAACAAACATGGTTGGTCATGTGATGTTGTCTCCCCTAGCAACGCGACGCGATTGTCAGCCGAGAAGCACGCGACAGTGTCAATCACTCGCGCATTGTAAACAAGCCAGGAGCTCTCACAATATTTTATTGACTCCAGCAAGTGAATAACTCGCCAGATATCAGAATGGAGCGGGCAGAAATCAACCCGCCATTTCGTAGCATGGTCCGAGCGAGCGGACTCGGTGAGATCTGGACCCATTCCACCGACCAGGTTAAGTTCAACCAGTTTGGGTGGAGATGCACCACGAAAGAAAACTCGTTTGCAAATGGGACTTTGATAGGGAACTGGAACGAAGACAAGTTTGATATCAGGAAGGAGCGGCAGGCGAAGAGTTTACCGTCGCAGGTGAGGTAGTTCAAATTTAACACCGCAGCGGCAATTTTTATACGTGTACCATAAATCGATGACACATCAGACATTACAAAATAATATTATAACACCCACGTCCAGTGGACCAAAGACGTACATCAATATACGTGTTTGGGTAAACATAAAACAATCTTGATAGATAACAGTAAGACATACATATAGATAACTATTTGAACTCCAAATAACCATGTTGTTTATTATGATTCATGTTTATTCCCAGTTTATTTTACTGACAATTTATTTAGATCGAATAAGCCGACAGGTTATCATTCGCCTGTTATTCCCTCCAGGCATAATGTTTACATTTGGGATAACAGTTTCTTAGTAAAGTACAGATTCACGTACTTTTTTTTCTTTTTTTTTTTTGGGGGGGGGGGGGGGGGGTCAGTCCCGTCCGGGATTCGAACCCACACTGCCAGAGTCAGCCACCTAACCGCCAGCACACAAAGTCAGGGATCTTACCCACTCAGCCACCGAGGTTTCCACTAAATGGAAGTCCGACACATCCTGTCCGAACTCCGAAGTCAACCAAATCAGCGAGCTCGGCCATCCGAACCTGTTAGTCGTCTCTCGTGATAAACACACATGGGCTGCTGAAGACCAGTAATAAATTTAATAAGAAAAATATGAGAGCAGCATTAGATAATTTGATTATTTAATATATCCAAGGGACCCGTGAAGAAACGAGGTAGAATAGGTCTTCAGAAACCCATGCTTGCCGTAAAAGACGACTACGCTGGTCTGTCTGATATAATAATAGTTACGTGTATGTGACATGGGTGCATAATAAAAAATGCCTTCATTCGCATGAAGTTCAACATGGCAGAAAAAGATCGAGAAGCGCGGTAACCACTTTACTAATCTCGCCATATTTCGCAATCCGTAGCACTGCATAAAATATGAGTTACACGATATTAACGCTGAGATGATTAGGGTGATGATGGTTATAATTTCATTCAATGAGCATCATAAATGTAATGGAAATATACCCTGTCGTTTTCTTATGTGTACCGACCATTCCGCCATAACCGATAGTCGATAAAAATATACAAAACGTGTAAATAAACGTGTTCGTAAAGGAGTGAACAGAAATATATTTACGTGAATAAGTATATAGTTGTGAGAAACGTCTTTCGGACCACTCTGGTCATATTTTTTCTTATGAACAAGGATTTTGTCTGAAAATATTAACGTGTATGTAACATGGATGCATAATCAAAATTCGCCGTCATTCGCTTGGTGTTCAAACATGGCAGAGAAAGGCCGAGAAGCGCGGTAACCACTTTACTAATCTCTCCATATTTCGTAATCCGTAGCATTGTATAAAGTATGAGTTGCATGATGTTAAAGCTAAGATGATCGGGCTGATGATGGTTATAATTTTGACTTTGTGCACTCAGTGTTTGATATCTAAATTCACGGTTTAAAAAGGGCATTTTATCGGGACCATATATGGTCCCTTGGCACTATGCGGGTGTGAAATGTGAGGGACCATATATGGTCCCGTGGCACCAAGAGGGAACAACAAACCAATAAATCCAAGGTTGGACGTGTAAAATGATATTGGAAAATCGCACTCCTCAAATCCTCAATAGTAAAAAAAATGAAAAAAATGTACGATTATCTATCTTTACAGTGAGCCTAAATATGTGCATCGATTTTCATTAATTAGAATAAACGGCAATTTGTTACTTTTCTGATTAGTCGGTAGTTATATAACCTGAAAAGTTAACATTTTCCAGTTCAATATCTGAAGCACCGACCATTTAATATCCGGGGTTGTTTTTTTTGTGGATTCTGGAGGGGGCTGGGGTGTTTTTTTAGATAGAATATTTGGTTAGGTCCAAAAAACGCTTCAAGACATACAGTTATCCCAAAAAGCTGTTACTTCATACTATCGCGTTGTCACTTGTCACAGTGATCAAACTGATTGCATGGATTGGTGCTCATTGTGTCAATCACGGGTTTGCCTGGACCAGGGATGATGATGCACGGACCAGCGTGAGTGTCAGGGAATGATCTGTAGAATATCATTCGTCACCACTCGCCCCTTTCCGTCACCTGCAAGAAGACTCGTCCCCCTATCGAGAAATGTTATGTGCGAAAATACGACAAACCAATCAGAATGCGCGTATGATTTCAAGTTCTTTGTCAAAGAATCCCTCAGAAATAATTTCTGTTTTTACATATGTCTTGCATCTAAAAATATACCAGAGACACAGTTAAATGTGTTCAATCATACTGTATAATTTCGCATGTCCTGATGTGCTTCTAATTGCATCTGAAATATAAATAATATATGGGGAAATATATGTGAACCATTGCGCAACGAGTTGACAATTGTTTTAGGTATGCCCGTTTGCGCTAAGACGGAACCCGGTCGCAAAAATGGCCACGAGAGGGGCACGAGTCGCTATTCGGCTTGTCCCGGAATAACACGAGTTGGTCACGAATGGTAGAATATATGGGAAAAGCTACGGTAAAGGCCGGGACCACATTGTCGATTACCGAAATGTAAAGAGTATGTAAAACTATGCATGATTTATTTTTGGGTGCTATATGAGTGAAAAAAGACTTAATTGTTACGTTTGGACAGTAATAATTATGATATATGTCCATTCAAGCCTTTAAATGAAATTATTTAGAGGTATCATAAAGGCACTAAATAGTCGGACGCACTTTTATGCAGCATTAAGTGAGCACAGAGACGCTGCAGAACACGCAGGGAAAGCAATATTTTACGTTCGCTTCATCGGGCACCTTTCATCATTCTAGGGATCGCGATCATTCGTGACCAACTCGTGTTATTCCGGGACAAGCCGAATAGCGGTGACGGAAAGGGGCGAGTGGTGACGAATGGGATCGCGATCTGTTTCTCACTAACCAAGCTTCCGGTGGAGGATCACGGGACTCAACATTTGAACACGAATAATACAATATGTTGACGGCAATGCGACTGAAAAACTGTATTTTTGTGTTTGTTTGTAAAGAAAGGGAATGTATGACAACTCGGTTATTGTCCAAAATAATGAGTTATGTTTTTTTATGATAAATTTTCAGCTAGATATCGCGAGCGTGTCACGACCAACTGGTTTCTTTAAATTAAAGATGTATTTTGTCTCCGGCATCCTTGTCTATATATATAAAAAAAGAAAAGATTTTGTCGTATAGAAAGCTCCTCTTCAGTAAACATTCAAAATAACATAATTTTACTACCAGATACCTGCGGTTTCTGTCAAAGGTACATGTCATTTATGCGAAAAAAGTTTGTTTTCATAATTATTTCAAAGTTATGTATCTCTCAAACGAGTCATGTATCATAAGAAAGAAACATTAAATATGTATCTGCCTTTATTTCTTGCCGTGAAGAGATCACCCGTCTAATAAACATACAGCTGTATTACACATTGTGTAATACCAAAGTGCGTGTTAATGTACTGCGGGAACAAGTTTCACGAACAAATATTGAAAACTCTCAACATCCCTGGGATCATTCAACAACATTACGTATAGAGATGAAAGATCACTGAAAGGAGCTTATGCACACTCGATGACCCCAGTAACCCTTTCGCTAGGCTGACGTCACATGGCATTGTTTCGCCGGTGGATCTTGCAACACCATTTCACAAATTATGTCATAGGGTATTGTCTTTGTAAACTTTGTGGTGCAGGACACCGTTCCACAAGGCGATCGTGCCGCCACGACACTTGTACGTCTAGGTTTATGGGAGTTATTGATAACCTTAGCGCTACGATAACTTTTTGAAAGGTGGGCCGTTGCATGGTATTAAATTAATACGTGTCATATTTTGACGTGTTTGAAGTATTGTTTTGTTAAACTCAATTAGATTATGCTGTGGATGTCTGTCTTTATTCACACACGACACTGAAATTCTAAAAAATGATGTCAATTGTCTGGTCCAGACTCGATTATTTACAGACGGCCGTCATATAGCTGGGATATTGCTGAGTGCGGCGTTAAACAACAATATATAATATTGCAATTCTGTCAAATTTGTACTCTTACACATTGCTGTGTTTTGCTTGGCAGTACAATCACTTCTTCGAGTCGACCTACGACTCCAGCTACAATCCGCAACCGCACGAGGTTCCACGAGATCTCAAACATCTTAAAGGTAAGTATGACAGATTGTCGACACAACTGTGGAAGTGTGTGTTTGTTAGTTTGCTTGTTGTTTAACGCCACACTCAGCAATATTCCAGCTATATGACGGCGGTCAGTAAATAATCAAGTCTGGACCAGACAATCCAGTGATTCACACCATGAGCATCGATCCACGCAATTAGGATACGATGACATACATTAACCAATTCAGCGAGCCTGACCCCCCGATCCCATTAGTCGCCTCTTACCATAAGCAAGAGGCGACTTACGGCATCGCTGTCAGGCTCGCTGACTTGGTTTATGCATGTCATCGTATCCCAATTGCGTCATATCATATTGCGTCATTATGACTCCACATGTGACAGTGACTCCACCACGTGAAATTATGACTCCACCACGTGACATTATGGCTCCACATGTGACAATGACTCCACCATGTGACATTATGACTCCACATGTGACAATATGACTCCACCATGTGACATCACGCCACATGTGACATAATGACGCCACTTGTGACAATGACCCCACCACGTGACTTTATGATGCCACATGCGACAATGACCCCACCACGAGACATTATGACCCCACCATGTGACATTATGACTCCACATGTGACATTATGACTCCACCATGTGATATATGACTCCACATGTGACAATGATTCCACCACGTGACATTATGACTCCACCACGTGACATTATGAATCCACCATGTGACATTATGACTCCACCATGTGACATTATGACTCCACATGTGACACTGACTCCACCACGTGACATTATGACTCCACCATGTGACATTATGACTCCACATGTGACAATGACTCCACCACGTGACAATATGACTCCACATGTGACACAGACTCCACCATGTGACATTATGACTCCACATGTGACATTATGATTCCACATGTGCCAATGACTCCACCACGTGACATTATGACTCCACATGTGCCAATGACTCCACCACGTGACAATATGACTCCACATGTGCCAATGACCCCACCACGTGACATTATGACCCCGATGTGACAATGACGCCACATGTAACATAATGACGCCACATGTGACAATGACTCCACCACGTGACAATATGACTCCACATGTGCCAATGACTCCACCACGGGACATTATGACACCACATGTGCCAATGACTCCACCACGGGACATTATGACTCCACATGTGCCAATGACTCCACCACGGGACATTATGACTCCACATGTGCCAATGACTCCAGCACGTGACATTATGACTCCACATGTGATATTATGATTCCACATGTGCCAATGACTCCACCACGTGACATTATGACTCCACATGTGCCAATGACTCCACCACGTGACATTATGACTCCACATGTGCCAATGACTCCAGCACGTGACAATATGACTCCACCATGTGACAATGACTCCACCACGGGACATTATGACTCCACATGTGCCAATGACTCCAGCACGTGACAATATGACTCCACCATGTGACAATGACTCCAGCACGTGACATTATGACTCCACCATGTGCCAATGACTCCAGCACGTGACATTATGATTCCACATGTGCCAATGACTCCACCATGTGACATTATGACTCCACATGTGACAATGACTCCACCATGTGACATTATGACACCACATGTGACCGTATGACTTGTTCCTGCAGCCCGACACCCGTATGCCTTCCCGGGACACCAGCCTGAACTTGACCGACCCGCTCTCAAGGCCACCTACAACAGCTGGGAAACAACAACACGTGCTTCCTATGTACACCCGAGCATCCGGGCACAGCCTTTGACGGGACCGGAAACACCAACTGCGCAAACTCAGACATAATGTGTACATCCGATTGTACTGTTTCTTATTTACGTTCTGATTGATATTGATTGTTAACCTGTTGATGCTGATGGAAAAACATAAAAAATAACCAACCTTGAGTAAATAATTTAGAATTAATTGATATGATGTATACTTACTTTGCAATATGGTGATATTCCTGTCACACATCAATCCTTAGAATAATAATATTTTGTGCTGATTAAGAGACAATCACTCGTAAATCAAATTACACGGTCAGTGTACAAAACCCGCATCATTGAATACCGTCAGGCCACTCTATTTTTATTTTTCGTTTCACGGGTCCGCCACCCCTACGGAAAAGCAGCTGAGAAGAAATAATTTAAACATAAAAAGATTTATTTTTATTTTGTCTCCCGCTAGTAATATAGACACTCGTATACTTTATAAAATGTTATATATATATATATATATATATATATATATATATATATATATATATATATATATTTATATATATATATTCCATGTCTTCATCACTGTCAGTGATTCAAGAAGCCAGCTGCAGCTTTAACTCTCTTTTTTTCATTTTCATAAATACACGATGGACATAGCTATTTATTTCTATATTTATTTTGATTGACCTTGTTTGGAAAAGCTGGACTAAATCCGTGAAACATAAAATTAAGAATGCTTGGCCTCACCATAATCAGACGATGCAGATGTGCTATGTATATATGATGTAGAAGACGCTACTATGCTAACCTGCTCAAAGTCACAGTCAGTATTATTGGATGACGTAGATGTGATACACGTATATATATGATGCGTTGTGTATTACAATGTTATCCTGCGCACAGTCAGTATTATTAGAAACCCAGTGTATACAGTGTGATATAGTATCCCTTCGTCGCCGGTGCATTTACAGTAATTCCCTGGCCCCATTGTCAGTCATTACAAATATACCGCAGTCATTGCGATATTTGACCCCGAGTAATTTACCGTATTCAACGTAATAAGCGCCCCGCTCTAATAAGCGCCCACGGCGATTTTTCTGATATATTGGCTAGTGAACAATCCCATTTAGCACCCCTTCCGATTGATCAATGTACACAAGACTTATTTATTCGTGTATAATACGCACTCGTTTGTTATATGCACCCTTAATTAAGGGCAATTAAGTTCTGGAAAATATATCTATCGTGAATAATACGAACAGACTTTTCTTTTGTATCATTTCAGGCTGTCAGCATAAAGCACGAAATTTACGATCTGTCAACTCTCTTTCTAACAAGAGCCACCTATTTCTTATTTTGAGAGCGCCCTGGGCGCTTATTACGTCAAATACGGTATGTTAAAAAACTCTCGTGTAAATTAAACCAGCTTTTGACCTCACTGCAGCTATTGAAACCAATTATTTAATATTAATATAACCTTTTTAGCTTCTGATGATGTTTTCTTGTTTGAGGTGTTGGGATAATATAATTTGAGGCACAGATTGATTTATTTTCATCCAAGCCATATATAAGTAGACATGACTTATTGTTGTAATATTAACACAATTTAGATGCAAGTTATCCCTGATATTCCTTATTGTCTCAGCTTGGGTTAAGTATCTCTGCACCTGTGCAACAGTAGATGTCTCTAATCCATCACGATAGGGGGCACTGCACAGACGTCTAAGGCGCCGCGATTCGCGGTGCAGAGTTGCGTCCCCTGGGCACGACAGAAACCTGAGTGTGGGTTCGAATCCCGGTTCGCCCCGATTATGTTTCTAGGTTTGTCAGCACCATACCCGTGCTCGTGGGTTTCACCGAAGTGGTAAACGTCTAAGACCTGCATCACTTCGGGCTTTCCTCCCACATTGAGCTGACACGCCGTGATATGACTGGAATACTGTTAAACATAATATTGCCCGGGTGTCTTGGTTTCAGGGTTTAACCAGTGACTACAACTTTTGTTTATTTGTTTATCTGTTTTAACTACCTGTCCAGTATTATTTTCATATCTATGTGATATCTCATTGTATTATATATGTGTTATATATGAATACACACTTCCACTGCTGTAATCTACTTGTGTTGTTTGTCAGAACCTCAACTTTTCAGTGAAGACTTAGTCTTATAGTACAAGGCTGACCCAAGGAACTCTGATTTTATAGTTGGGGAGTGTCGTTACAGATCTAGATCCCTCGTCTTTCATATCACAATATGTGGCGCATTGGGGCCCGGGGCCTGTCCTCATCTGGCCTACACCTCATATCGCCTACACGACTATCAAAACAAATTGATGGATGACTGCACATCACACTTGTACCCTTATCCCTTAAGTAAAATGAACTCTTCCAACAAGATAACAAAGAATGTAAATGACTTTTGATACTGTGATTTCATTTTGTATATGAGATCATCTTCACAGCTCAAATGTTTTCACAACATCAAATATCATAAATACACATGTATTATCATAGCACTGTACATTTATATCCATCATCTTCATGTTTTACAACATTAGCATTACATCATTACTAGCAAAATTACTGTAACTTGATGAAATGTCCAACTGCATCCAGAAACTGGATCACTGATCTTCTGCCCGTAGCAAGCTGCTGCTTCAGTCTCTCGATCCTTGCATCTCGGTCTCACGAGCACGAGGTCTCATGGCACCACCCAGTCCAATCTGCCTTCTTGACCGTCTATCTGCTGTCTCGATCTTCTTGAGTTTTTTGACAAACTGGAAGATGTTTGGATGGGCATTCGGCATTGTCTTCTTCAGGCCATTGTGGAAACCTTCAAGATGGTTGTTGGAGCGTGGACCGGTGTTCTTGTGTTGATTCCACAGGGCTCGAGGGAACGTGGCATTGAAGTCCACCCATGTGCTGGTGACGTAGTCGTTGAACCTGGTGATCTGCTGCCCATCTGGTCCTTGCTCCATCACTTCAATCCAAGCATCTTGGACTTCAGCTAGGGGTAGAAGCGGCAACGCTGCAGGTCTTCTGATGTGGGTCTGCACTGCTGGGTTGTCGGTGTAGTCTCGGGCCAGGCCTCTGTCAGACTGAGGCACAAACTTAAAAACTAACGTATATACCTATTCCTAAATTGGAGATGAGGTGATCCTGTTAACATTGTGAAAGCTATTTCGTTGATCAAAGTAAAGAGAAACAATAGCATTTACTAAAGTATATATATACACTTACAAAAATTTGGAGATGAGTAGACCTGTTAAAATGCTCAGATTGGATTATATCAGGTAAGGTAATGTATACACACTTACAAAACTTTTGAGATGAGTAGACCTGTTAAAAGTGGATTATAACAGTAATCCTGTATAAACAATCAAAACAAACTCAAGGATCAGATACCACTATGAAAACATCGCATTAGTTCAAAGGCCCATGTACTCAGGTCATTAATTCATTTATTGAACGAAATCAAGAAATTGCAACTAGAACTAGAAGATATTATAAGGGTAAAAACTCAAGGGCAAATGATAAGTGCAAAAGCAATCTGGGTAGAAAAGGGTGAAAAACCAACCTCATATTTTCTCAGTCTAGAATCGTGAAACTTTCTGAATAAATCATTCACTAAAATAGAAGATTCAAATGGACGTTTGCTCGATAATCCTACTGATATTCAAAGCGAAGTCAAACTTTTCTATAAAAAATTATAATGTAAACATGACGTCTCTGAAATTAATCTTGGGCAGATTCTTAGTGAATATGACGTTCCAAAACTAGACGAAAGCACTTCCAACTGTCTCGAAGGCAAATTAACAGAAAATGAAGTACTTACTGCTCTAAAATATCTTAAGAATGAAAAGAGTCCTGGCCCTGACGGATTTACGGAGGAATTTATAAAATTCTTTTGGAAAGACATTGGAAAATTTCTTGTAGGATCACTTTAACTGTGGTTTTGAAGAATGCGAACTTTCCATTTCTCAAAAAGTAGGACTTATAACCTGTATTCCTAAGGGAAATAAGGCAAAACAGTATTTAAAGAATTGGCGCCCAATTTCGATACTATCTGTATTTAACAAAATAGCTTCTTTAGCAATATCACGTCGTGTTAAATCGGTTCTTGACCTATTTATAAATAAGGACCAGAAAGGATTTATGTCGGGTAGATACATAGGAGATATTACAAGACAAATATATGACTTAATAGAATATACTGATACCTACCAAATTCCTGGCCTTCTTTTGTTAGTAGCCTTCTTTTGTTAGTAGATTTTGAGAAAGCTTTTGATACGGTTGAATGGCCCTTCCTACATAAGGTTTTAACTTTTTTAACTTTGCACAATCTATACAAAAATGGGTAAAGGTATTTTATAGCGATATTAAATCTAGTGTTCTTGTAAATGGTTTTGGCTCAGCTACCTTATCATTTCTAGAGGTTGTCGTCAGGGGGACCCTTTATCACCTTATCTGTTTATCCTTTGTGCGGAAATATTAGCAATTATGATAAGAAACAATGCAAATATAAAAGGAATTAAGGTAGATAAAATTGAATACCTATTGAATCAGTTTGCTGATGACACATCATGCGTCTTATATGGTTCAGAACGCAGTCTAGAATCAGTGCTACAAGTACTAACATTTTTTGCAAGATTCTACGGCCTTAAAGCCAATGTCGATAAAACAAGAATTATTTGGTTTGGTTCCAAAAAACGCAGTAGAATGAAAATATGCCATAATTGGAAACTCCTTGGGATAAATTTCGACATAGACTTGGAAAACATGATAGATTCTAATACAAAGAAAAGTTGAGACACTGTGAGACACTAATGCATATCTGGTCTGTCCGAAATCTATCACCTCTTGGAAGGATCACTGTATTAAAATCTCTAATCATTCCCAAACTAAACCATCTTTGTGCTTCTATACCTAACCCCACAGAAAGTGTAATTGAATTTTTTTTAAAAACATGCTTTAGTTTTATATGGGGAAATAAACCAGATAAAATAAAAAGAACTCAACTCACCTGCGGTGTGAAAGATGGAGGATTAAATGCTCCTAAACTTAAAGAAATTATACAGTCTCAAAAAATCACAGTAATTAAACGATATTATAAACAGACATCTAAATGGGGCAAATTATTCAAAGCCAATTTACCGAAACTAGGTTCTGCGAAATATTTGAATATAATTGTTCGAATCTTAAAGATACTCTCAGTCCGTTGATTCGTAATACGTTTTACAGCGATCATTGATTTCACAATTGACCACTGCATGCCATCGTATCCCAATTGCGAGGATCGATGCTCATGATATCAATCACTGGATTGTCTTGTCCAGACTCGATTATTTACATATCGCCGCAATATAGATGGAATATTGCTGAGTGTGGTGTTGAACAAAAAAAACAAAAAACAACTTGATTACTTGATTCAGGATCACTAAAGGTCATATGTATGTTAAATGTTAAATGTTAAATGTTATTGCAAAGGTCGTTTTTTCTTTAAACTTTTTAAGCATCGATTCCTTTCCAGTAAATCCAAAGAAGATTGTGTATACAGTCATCCCACAGTCAGTGTACAGTTCTATGTCATTTGTTCTCCATCTTTTTCGCTTTTAGTACTCACAAACAAATTTACTTTCATAGCTCAAAATGTAGTTTGTGTTAAACCATCGTAAATATTATCGAGTGCGAGATCGCCATAGTTTAGAAAGGATATTCTCGCGGACAACACGAGTTTGTAAATTTGTAAATACAAAAGCGTACCTGGGGTAATAAATGTGCCCCCTCAGCGTTCGTGAATGAACATAAACCTACAAACTTCGATTGTTGTTATGGCATGATATGATAGATATATCACCCTCCTTATTATTGTGCTTCGTATCGTAATTATCATATATTAGGAAGAGCAAGCGTATTGTGCACGCTACAGACCAAAGGCTCGCACATTACAATTATTTTGCTTATTAGTTATAGTTAATATCAAAGTCCACCTTGGCATCTCATGTAACGTGAACGAATGTTTACTTTTGAGCTGCATCTACATAGCAAAGTTTCCACAATATATGTATTCACAGCCATGACAGGGGAATATGTACTGTGTAGAGATATTTGTTTTGAGTGTCCACAGTGCTTTGTTTTGTTCATGGTTATGGATATAAAATGATTCTAATCGATATGCAGGTGTATGTGCGCATGTCTTGTTCACCATCTCTCGTAGATTTGTATTTAAGAACATATGCCACGGGTGTAAGCAAACAGAACCGTGCTTATTTCCATTAACACGTGGTGAGGTGAGGTGAAATTGAGTTTAACGTCGCGTCCAAGAGTATTGCACTTATATAGCGACGTGCATGCACGCGTGTGTGTTGCTGCTTGTACTAGTCCGGACTTATGCCGATTTATAGTGCTATCCCACTGAGATACCATGCCGCAGTTTCACATGAATACCCCACTCAGACACAGTATACTGACTCCGAGCTGACCAGTCCTGGTTTTATCCCCTTAATGCCAAGCGTCAGACAGGGTAACAACAAGTACCATATTTTAACGTCTTTTGATATGACGCGGCCGGGGATCGAACCCGGACCTTCTGCTCTCCGGGCGGACGTTCTACCACTAGACCACAGATGCGGTTGTACCCTGCGTTAAAGTATCTAATTTCCCACGTCAAGAGATGAGAGAAACATTTCACGAGGCACAGTAAATATCCTATTCATTATATACTTTTTGTGTAGCTGTCTAACGTAAAAAACATGATTTCATTACAAATGTAAATAAAGCGACAAAACCTTTTCCCTATCCCATAGAATTATCTTTGCATAGAGCAGAGTCGATTAACAATACCGACTATATCATGAGCATGTGTTTATGAATCACTATCAAATAGTATAATACCAGGTGTTCGCAAAAAGGTGAGCGTATCCTGCCGCACCGGTGCCACCCGTCATAAACACATGCAAAGGCCAGTCAATTGTTCACCCGAAAACATATGGGAACATATGGTACAAGTCAAATAGGGAATTGCATCGGACATCATTTTTTGTCACTGATTGTCAACTATAAAACTTTTTGAAAGCTTTACTGAGGCCTTGAGCGTTATAACCTTGATCAAACAACTTCTGAGCAAAAATCGTATGACGCTCTTTGAAATCTTAGAAGACAGAGCATGCTCGATTGTATCTGAAAAGTTGCGAAATGTTAACACCAAAGGCTGGAGCTGCTGGAATATTGCTCGACATGAAGGGAAAGTTGACTATTGGAAAGTTGAACCATGAAAAGTAAACTTTCCCTGCCTATCAAGGCGGACATTTCACCACCCCTTGCAATTGCTACTTGAAGAGTAGTTCCATGGTTGCCTAATCTTAAAAAAATATCAACAAAAGTAACAAATTATATTTGAAGTACCTTAATTTTTTTATCATACATTTGGATATATTTATATACGAAATCAGCTTTAACAAACAAAAGTATTGAAAGCAACACGACCTATTGTGTGTGAGTGTGTGTGTGTGTGCTTGTGTGTGTGTGTGTGTGTGTGTGCGTGTGCGTGTGCGTGTGTCTATTGTGTGTGTGTGTGTGTGTGTGTGTGTGTGTGTGTGTGTGTGTGTGTGTGTGTGTGTGTGTGTGTGTGTGTGTGTGTGTGTGTGTGTGTGTGCGTGTGTATGTGTGTGCACAACAACTTATGAACTTATTACTCTGTGAAACGAGGGGTGTTCAATAAGTTTTGCAACTTGGCCATTTGTGTTTACACAAACAATGTCATCAGGTTGACACGTGTCATAACAAGTTCCAGACACAACAATGTGATGGCTTCATTCACCTAAGGGTGGTCACAATCATGGATTCTCTCAAACATAGTAATAAAGTTTCTTACTAACGCTCCGGTTCACAAGTCGAGAATGTGGATTCGAACAGTTAAATATGGTTAGAGGGCCAATCTGCGGATTTCTATAAAAGTGGTATTAAAAGCTTGAAGGACAAATGGAATAAGTGTATAGGAGGTCAATGGAGATTGTATTGAAAAATAAAAGTGCAAAAGATATTGTGCGACTTGGTCTTTATTAAAGCTGCAAAACTTATTGTACGCCCCACGTATATATCTATTATGTATTGTATTAATAATGTTTTTGTTTATTTCGCTGCTGAGATTCTTATTTTATCTTTTCATTGATCCTGGTTCAAATCGTTCGATACGTCTTAAATATAACTAATTGCGTCATGAACTATCATTCACTTACTCATTCGACCCGTGAAGATTCCAGGGTAGAATAGGTCTTCAGCAACCCATGCTTGCCGTAAAAGGCGACTATGATTGTCGTAAAAGGCGACTAACGGAATCGGGTGGCCAGGCTCGCTGACTTGGTTGATGCATATCATCGATCCCAATTGCGAGGATCAATTTTAGAGTGACATGCAGTATGCACGTAGATATCCCCATTCCAACATAAAAATAAGTGCAAGAATGAATAGATCAAACAGTGCTTGATCTTTCAGAACAAATCTGCATAATGTGTGATTGTGATCATAAATGTTTGTTTTTTTAAAAATACGGTTTTTGTGTGAACATAGTTTGTAATATTTAGAAATTATTGTACATGTTTCTTCAATCCTGCATCTTACGCATCATCCTATAAAAAAATCTTCATGATCTGATTTGTGTTTCATTAAAACATACTACAGTAAACTACGTTTAAAACGAACACGCTTATCACGAACTGACGGATATAACGAAATGTGTTTTCATCCCGTCCATTTGCTGTATATTTGCTGTATACAATCTGTAATATATGTTAGTAACGAACTACGGTTATAACGAACTAAAAGTAGTAGTCCCTTTGAGTTCGTCATAACCGTAGTTTACCGAACAGTATTGCAACACAATGAACAAACCATTAAAAACATTCATAGACATCAGAGTTACATTAGGCAAGTCCCATAGATCTCTCTCCATCCCGTGGCGGTCGGGTAGCCTAGCGGTTAAAGCGTTCGCTCGTCACGCCGAAGACCCGGGTTCGATTCCCGACATGGGTACAATGTGTGAAGCCCATTTCTGGTGGCCCCCGCCGTGATATTGCTGGAATATTTCTAAAAGCGGCGTAAAACCATACTCACTCACTCACTCACTCACTCTCTCCATCCCTTTAACCTCTTCAGATGGACGTGGAATAAGCGACCGCGGACGACGGACGGACAATTGCAAAATGCGAAATGCGATTCATGGTGAACTAAAAGTTACAATCACAAAACGCCAAGAAAACAAATATTTCAAGTAATAATGTGGTAACTGATCCGGTCTCATTTGAAAACAAATTAGTTGTGTAAAAATTACAAACACGGAAAACATTTTACAATAAAGAAAAACTAATTCATAAAAAAACAAATCAGAGTTACATGTTTTCATCTTGGCGTCTCAGAGATCCTTATGTCATGAATCCACAAAGTTATTAATGTCCAAAACCAACTGCATTTGTGAAAACAAATCGCCTCATGAGGCAGATATATTATCTTGTCACGTGTACTGTGCACGCATATATAGAGCTTAGCGAAAGACGAATTCGTGGGATTATAAACCTCCTGGTTGAAACGTCTTCTACATGAATCACTGGCCACCCTGTTATGTAAGCTGCATGCGGTCGACCCGGAAATTAAATACTCCAGTAGAGATAAAGATTCCCTGGTTAGCGAACGGAGGTTCGAATATACTCGGAGTTCTGGAAGGGGCATGTGAGTATAATATAAGCCATATGTACAACGTAGTGTGAGACCTAGTGTTCCCTTGTGTCACACCACGTTCATCATGGAGAAGAGGATCGTGACCCCCTTGGTGTTTCTAGCTGCGTTGATTGTCAGTGGTAAGTGTCTTGTTTATGCACCTCACATGACATGTTTTGTTTTATTTTTTTTGTTTTTTTTTAATGCCGCACTCAGTAATATTCCAGCTACATGACGGCGGTCTGTGAATAATCGTGTCTGGGCCAGACAATCCAGTGAGTGACATCATGAGCATCGATCCAAGCAATTGGGATACGATGACATGCATCAACCAAGTCAGCGAGCCTGACCACCCAATCCCATTAGTCGCCTCTTACGACAAGCATAGTCGCCTTTTACGGCAAGCATGGGTTGCTGAAGGCCTATTCTACCACGGATCTTCACGGGTCCACCGTTTAGTCCAACTGTTTCCATAGTTTAGTCTACCTGTGATAAACGTGTCATTTTCAACTTGAGTCAGTGAGGGGTGTCATGTCAGGTGTTCACGAAAAGGGTGAGCATGTCCTGCCCTACTGGTAGCACCTACCGCTCACACGTATTTGCATAAAAAGTACGTGTTTGTTTGTTGACTGACAGCGGCATTTAAATAAACCAGACAATCTGGTGATAGTGACCTTAAAATCAAGAGACACAACGGCACATTTACTGCCTTTTCCGAAACTAAACACGATAAGTTATTTTTGAGTTACTTCCGCTGCCTACACGGGCAGAGATTTTGCTGAAACACTTAAAAAACATGTTCGGTTTGTAACACAGTGGGGGCCATAGCTATTCAACAAAATATATATGAAAATACTGCCAAAGCAAGTCTTTGAAAGGCATTTAAAAGTGATATACATAAAGAAGAGAATTTATGGATGTCAACTTCATCACCATGAGGAACACAACGTTTTGAAGTATATGCTTGCTCCTTCATCACGTGAATGACTGATATAAGGCAGAGAACATATATATGTACATGTAAGGACAACAAAAGTAATAAGATAGCAAAAGGTGGAAACTAACAAGGGAAGCCAACAGATGATTGGCACTGATAGGTGATTAGCAATAGACAAATGAAGCCATCACATTACAGTTATTATGCACAGGACTTAAATTATCACTGATTGGTAATAGGCAATGGACAAACAAGGCCGGGGATAAATAGTCTGATAGGTAAACGACACATACTGCCTAAGGTTACACACAAGCAAATGCTTTCATTGGTTTCTTTGAATGAATGGCCTCCAAATGCCGTTTCATGTACATTGTATATGTGTGCATTGCTTGGTCTTATAACGACACGAACAAGCACAACGTCAGGCGACGAAAAACAACAACGAGAAAGCGTCTATGACGATCTTCAGGGATGCTTGATTCGTTTTTGTTTTTTCTGGAGTTGAGAGAGTTAATATCATTTTTTATCTTACCTAGCATCATGGTGAGGTTATGTATGTCGCGACAGGGATATACTAAGTCACAATAACACGTTTATCAGCTCAAATATTGACACGCTCAATCACGAACGCAGCCAGATATGAAAATCTGTACTCAATGCGCCCTCTTTACATTGTTGTGAAGTTACGCATACCACACTATCTACCAGGAAGCTCCACAGTGAAAAAAAGAAGAAACTGATGACGCCGTAAGCCGTCCGACCTTGCAGCGAGGGCCACTCCTCATGTATCAGCGGGTCAACCGTCCACGAATGTGTGTTACTTTGTATTCAATATGGCGAAGTGGATAACAGCTGATATAATACTTCTGGCATGTATTTCTTTCAGTGGTAGGTTGAACGCCAAAGTTAGATATCTTTCTTTACAGCTTGAATATTTCACATAATATATTGTTCTGGCGTTTGTAGCTGATACATGTGTCCAACATGTTAAATACCAGGACGATTTTGTTTAATATTGCCAAATCATTTAAAGTTTCAGTGTCTGGCCAGACAATCCGACTGGTGTCCCCCCTGAACAACGGTGTTGGGAGAATTGAGGTGTTCTATAACGGTACATGGGGCACCGTTTGTGACGATAGCTTTGGGACAGATGAAGCCAAGGTGGCCTGCAGACAACTGGGACGATAGTAAGACACCCTGTGTACAGCAGACCTAGTATATTTACAGGACGCCCTCGTATACCTGGAATATTGATGTTAAACAAATATTAAACGAAACAAACAAAACTTATGGGGATATATTGCTTATTTCATAAAGTAAAAGCAATGGCGAAATAACAAACGTTTGCTTATGTTTGCACATTATTGTGGAGGTACTAATACAATGTTCTGAGATATACTAGGGTGCCAGGGCAAAGGTAGGTTTGGTTGATATGACAATAGTAGGACACCATGCCATAATCGTAGTTGTATGATATACTGAGGTAGGTTTGGTAGATATGACAATAGAGGGACACCGTGTCATAATCGTAGTTGTATGATGAATTGTGGTAGGTTTGATAGATATGACAATAATATGACACCATATGCATAATCGTAGATGTATGATGTACTTGGGTAGGTTTGGTAGATATGACAATAGTAGGACACGATGTCATAATCGAAGTTATATGATGTACTGAGGTAGGTTTGGTAGATGTGACAATAGTAGGACACCATGTCATAATCGTAGTTGTATGATGTACTGAGATAGGTTGATAACTATGACAATAGTAGGACACCATGTCACAATCGTAGTTGTATGAAGTACTGAGGTAGGTTGATAACTATGATAGTAGTAGGACACCATGTCATAATCGTAGTTGTATGATGTACTGAGGTAGGTTTGGTAGATGTGACAATAGTAGGACACCATGTCATAATCGTAGTTGTATGATGTACTGAGATAGGTTGATAACTATGACAATAGTAGGACACCATGTCATAATCGTAGTTGTATGATGTACTGAGGTAGGTTTAGTAGATATGAAAATAGTAGGACACCATGTCATAATCGCATTTGTATGATGTACTGAGGTAGGTTTTGTAGATATGACAATAATAGGACACCATGTCATAATCACAGTAGTATGATGTACTGAGATAGGTTGATAACTATGACAATAGTAGGACACCATGTCATAATCGTAGTTGTATGATGTACTGAGATAGGTTGATAACTATGACAATAGTAGGACACCATGTCATAATCGTAGTTGTATGATGTACTGAGGTAGGTTTAGTAGATATGACAATAGTAGGACACCATGTCATAATCGCATTTGTATGATGTACTGAGATAGGTTTTGTAGATATGACAATAGTAGGACACCATGTCATAATCATAGTTGTATGATGTACTTGCGTAGGTTTGGTAGATATCACAATAGTAGGACACCATGTCATAATCGTAGTTGTATGATGTACTGAGGTAGGTTTAGTAGATATGACAATAGTTGGATACCATGTCATAATCGCAGTTGTATGATGTACTGAGGTAGCTTTTGGTAGATATGACAATAGTAGGACACCATGTCATAATCGTAGTTGTATGATGTACTGAGGTAGGTTTTGTAGATGCCACAATAGTAGGACACCCTGTGCATAATCGTAGATGTATGATGTACTGGGGTAGGTTTGGTAGATATGACAATAGTAGGACACCATGTCATAATCGTAGTTGTATGATGAACTGAGGTAGGTTTGGTAGATATGATAAAAGTAGGACACCATGTTTATAATCGTAGTTGTATGGTGTACTGAGGTAGGTTTGGTAGATGTGACAATAGTAGGACACCATGTCATAATCGTAGCTGTATGATGTACTGAGGTAGGTTTGGTAGATATGATAATAGTAGGACACCATGTCATAATCGTAGTTGTATGATGTACTGAGGTAAGTTTGGTAGATATGATAATAGTCAGACAACGTGCAATAATCGTAGTTGTATTATGTACTGAGGTTGGTTTGGTAGATGTGACAATAGTTGGACAACATGCCATTATCGTAGTTGTATGGTGTACTGAGGTAGGTTTGGTTGATATGACAATAGTAGGACACCCTGTCATAACCGTGGTTGTATGATATACTGAGGTAGGTTTGGTAGATATGACAATAGTAGGACACCCTGTCATAATCGTAGTTGTATGATGTACTGAGGTAGGTTTAGTAGATATTACAATAGTTGAACGACATACCATAAGTGGGTTGTATAATGTACGGAGGTAGGTTTCGTAGATGTGACAATGGTTTGACAACATGCCATAATCGTAGTTGTATGATGTACTTGCGTAGGTTTGGAAAATATGACAATAGCAGGACAACATGTCATAAGCGTGATTGTATGATCTACTGAGGTAGGATTGGTAGATATGACAATAGTAGGACACCATGTCATAATCGTAGTTGTATGATGTACTGAGGTAGGTTTTGTAGATGCCACAATAGTAGGACACCCTGTGCATAATCGTAGATGTATGATGTACTGGGGTAGGTTTGGTAGATATGACAATAGTAGGACACCATGTCATAATCGTAGTTGTATGATGAACTGAGGTAGGTTTGGTAGATATGATAAAAGTAGGACACCATGTCATAATCGTAGTTGTATGATGTACTGAGGTAGGTTTGGTAGATATGATAATAGTAGGACACCATGTCATAATCGTAGTTGTATGATGTACTGAGGTAAGTTTGGTAGATATGATCATAGTCAGACAACGTGCAATAATCGTAGTTGTATTATGTACTGAGGTTGGTTTGGTAGATGTGACAATAGTTGGACAACATGCCATTATCGTAGTTGTATGGTGTACTGAGGTAGGTTTGGTTGATATGACAATAGTAGGACACCCTGTCATAACCGTGGTTGTATGATATACTGAGGTAGGTTTGGTAGATATGACAATAGTAGGACACCCTGTCATAATCGTAGTTGTATGATGTACTGAGGTAGGTTTAGTAGATATTACAATAGTTGAACGACATAGCATAAGTGGGTTGTATAATGTACGGAGGTAGGTTTCGTAGATGTGACAATGGTTTGACAACATGCCATAATCGTAGTTGTATGATGTACTTGCGTAGGTTTGGAAAATATGACAATAGCAGGACAACATGTCATAAGCGTGATTGTATGATCTACTGAGGTAGGATTGGTAGATATGACAATAGTTGGACAACATGCCATTATCGTAGTTGTATGGTGTACTGAGGTAGGTTTGGTTGATATGACAATAGTAAGACAACATGTCATAAGCGTGATTGTATGATCTACTGAGGTAGGATTGGTAGATGTGACAATAGTTGGACAACATGCCATTATCGTAGTTGTATGGTGTACTGAGGTAGGTTTGGTTGATATGACAATAGTAGGACACCCTGTCATAACCGTGGTTGTATGATATACTGAGGTAGGTTTGGTAGATATGACAATAGTAGGACACCCTGTCATAATCGTAGTTGTATGATGTACTGAGGTAGATTTAGTAGATATTACAATAGTTGAACGACATAGCATAATTGGGTTGTATAATGTACGGAGGTAGGTTTCGTAGATGTGACAATTGTTTGACAACATGCCATAATCGTAGTTGTATGATGTACTTGCGTAGGTTTGGAAAATATGACAATAGCAGGACAACATGTCATAAGCGTGATTGTATGATCTACTGAGGTAGGATTGGTAGATATGACAATGCTAGGACACGTTAAAATATTACTTACACGAAGTACCCTAGGGCTATATATAGACAGTAACTAACAGTAACATCTCCACTTACTACAATGGAACTTGTAGGATGTGTTGGTGAAGAAATCTGGACAGTAGTTGGACATCATGCTATGATAGCATCTATTGGGTGTCGTGAGGCAGGTGAGATAACTGACGTTCAATCATCCTCCATTATTCCCCGTTTGTGATTATTCATTGTCATCATAATGTTGTGCTGCTGTAATTAAATTAAACATTTTGTGTGCGTTTAGTAAAAGCGGACTTACACCAAGGGCAATTCAAAGTTTTGGTTTTGGAGGAGGAAAGATTTTGTTGGATGACGTGAGTTGCTCCGGTACCGAGTCATCTTTGGCCAGCTGTTCACACAGACCATGGGGCGTCAACAATTGTGGTCACAGTGAAGATGTTGGCATCATATGTGATCCAAGTGAGTTATTACCTGAACTTATATCAGAAGCATTGTTTATCATCCATGTACCGTCTTTGTTTATAAGCGGTCATGATCAGAAAAAGGTAACCACAACATTTGTCCCAACACGTGCTCAATACTCAACAAGAGAGGGCGCTGCAATTCTCTATGCAGAGATACGTCCCCTACGATCGCTGGTTCGAATCCCAGAATTCGTTCTGATAATGTACAAGCCACATGACCTCTCCACATTTATTAGTTATTACTTAACCGTCACCAATACCCATCAATGAATGTGTGTTATTTCGTATGTAGTATGGCGAAGTGGATACCGGCTGATGTAATACTCCTGGTGTGCATGTCAAGTGGTGGATTGAAGGCAAAAATAGATATCCTTCTTTGCAGCCTGGATAGTAGACATAATTTTACATGTTCGACATAAACAAAACCCGACACCACTCAACAAGACTCTGTGACAGAACGTCGACGTTCGTAAGATCCTACACTCCATTCGGGACTGTGCTTGAGTTTAAAGGCTGGTCAGACAACAGTTCACATCAGCAATTTAATATGTACGCTGTTAATGTTAACAACCGGTAATTGAGTTCGGCCACAGCATTTGTAAAAATGTATTACATTTTAGCAAACCATTCTCACGCTATATGCACATTGTAGAGTATCAAAGTCAGTGTTTGTGTTCGAGTGCATGCTTGAGATGAAACATATGTATTTTTTATATGTTCCTTGTCCCATACTTATTCACAATAAAGCTTTCGACCCGGTCGACTTGACAGATGTACGTATGGTTAAATTGGTCAAAATGGTAAATATAGTGACAGGTATCTTTACCATTAAACATTACATATGTGTACGATATTGGTTTTCATCACAACAAGAGGACAGTTTACGTTACATTGTTTTACTAGGTGACATAACGATGAAGCTGACACCGAACTACAACAAAGGACTCCTACAGGTGTACCACTCCGGTAGATGGGGCACAGTGTGTGATGACTATTTCGGCCAAGTAGAAGCTTCAGTTGTGTGCAGGGCCTTGGGGTACCAGTAAGTTGTAGTTCAACGTCTTTTTATATACCGAAATATTTAATTAAATGCTTATCTATCATTTAAACACATCAACCTAGGATTATTAACAATGGAATTGGGCAAACACATAAAACAAAAAATACTTGCTTCTTGTAGCCATTTCTTGGAAATTCATAATCTCTAACAGGCACGAGGGGTGCTGTTACCTTGTCATCAAAACGTTCGTTCGTCACGCCGAAAACTCGGGTTCGATGCCACACATGTGTACAATGTGTGATGCCCATTTCTCAGTGTCTCCATATTGCTGGAAAAGTGGTAAAAGCGGCGTACTCACTCACTCTAACAGGGAACGCTACATATTACCACATAAGCATCACAAAGAGTTGGAATGTGACATTTGAATTGAACGCAACTTGGTATCAAATCTACGAGGATCTCCTGTAACCCAATTAAAGACAACTGCCTGTAGTTGTTTTTAATTCGTGGGTAGCCCAGTTGTTTAACATGTCGTAAGTTGCTGTGTAGAGAGTCTTCACTTAGGCAGAAACAGATGATGGTAGGTTTGAATCCCGATTTTCTAGGTTTGTCAGCACCAGACCCATGCTTGTTGTTTCACCAAAGTGGTAAACGTCTAAGGTCTGCATCACTTTGGACTTTCTTTCCACAAACTGTGATAAAATGGGCGGCAAAAGAGAGTATAGGTCGAGTTCCATGATCGATAAAAAAATAACAAGAAGATGTATTGTTGTGAATTATAATATAATATAGGGAGGGGTAGCAAATGATTGATCAACCGCAGTTTGAATGAAATTGTACAATCACAGGTAATGTAAGCTCAAGGTAAACAAGAAATTTCATTTTCAAAAGTTGTCTGAAATGTCACCAAAACATGTCAGACACACTACAAGTTCATTGTCGACTCAGTTGCCTTCAATAGCGTCAGCTCGACAAACTGTGGTATAACTGAATTAATGTCCAAAGCGGCATTAGGCCAAACTCACTCACCCTCCATAACATATAGCTGACATAACAATGTTTATTTTTGCAAAGGTGTCTTTTCTCTCTATATTGTCAGAGGGGGAAAGGCAATCGATGAAAGCAGTTCAATAACAATGTGGTTAGATGACGTGCAGTGCACGATACGGAATACAGATCTTAAAGACTGCAAGCACAGACCATGGGGGAGTGATGACTGTAGCGACTCAGAAGCTGTCGGTGTCCAGTGTTTTTCATTTCCTGAAGGTATGCTTTGGATCATTTATTCCTCGTGATACTGATCACTCGATTGTCTGGTCAGGCTTTATGAAAATGGTGGCAGGTGCTACCAGAAGACCTGGTGTGATCACTGATTTCCTGTAATGGATTCATATAATTGTCTTCACTATTTCGCTTTTCCGCCCCATGGAATCGGTTTTTAATCGAGACTGATTATTCCCTATCGTTTACGTTTACGTAATTGTAATCTAATTGGCATTACCCACGGGTTCCATATGGTTTCTTCGTTGCCTCGTAAAACCGAGACATTTGATATAACATGTTTTGGCACCCGTCTTTCATTATCAAGTGTCTTGTGACGGAGTCTTGTGTCTTGTGTGCTTTTAGCAGGGCTTCTTTGGATTATGGAAACGTTTTTGTCTTCTATTCCAAATCGGCCTTTGCATTCAGTAATAGAGTGACTCCAAATCAGAATATGGTACAAGTGATTTTAGTGTGTGTCACGGGAGTTAATTGGCTTGTTGTTCCTTGAACTTCAGGTTGAGAGTGATTCACAGTAGTTACACAATAACATGTTTGATATCGAGTTTACAGTGTACACAATTCAGAATACCAAAGTCTTAGAACTAGTTCTATGTTGACAGAAACTCTTTCCATAAAATGAGTGAGTGAGTGAGTATGGTTTTACACCGCTTTTAGCAATATTCCAGCAATATCACGGCGGGGGACACCAGAAATGGGCTTCACACATTGTACCCATGTCGGGAATCGAACCCGAGCCTTCGGCGTGACGAACGAACGCTTTAACCACTAGGCTACCCGACCGCCCCTCTTTCCATAAAAATAAAAATCATAAACAAATACGTCTGTGTTACAATTCTTTGGAAAGCACATGTATGCAGGCCATCAACTGACAGCTACATATTTATCCAAATAATGTCAGCTGATGTCTTCATCAGATTCTACAGCGGCAAGACTTGTATCCACCACCAACACGCCAGGGGAGGGAGTGCTGGAGCTGTACCATGGTGGACAATGGGGAAGCGTCTGCTATACTGGGTTCGGAGTGGAAGAGGCAACAGTTGTCTGCAGAATGTTGGGACACAACACGTAAAAACATATAATGAGATCGTGTTTCAACCAAATATATCTGTATATTTCTTCTTGTGTGGAAACTCAATGTAGACATATGATGTTATTATACTTTATAACAAATATGAAGTCTTGCTTCTCAGGTACTATTCTCTTACAAATAACTAGATACACATTTGATACACATTTAACCTTTTTCATTGATCCCACCTATTGTTTTGAAACTATTTGGCACACTCTATTTGATATTTAGCTTTGGGGCCAGCTCACATTTAAACACCGGCAGTTCATCACGGCATGTCATCCTAGATAAAGTCAAGTGTCTTGGCACAGAACTCTCTCTCAATGAATGTCTTCACTATCCATGGGGTAGTGTTACCTGTTCCTCAGCAGTAGTCCGAATACAGTGTCCCTCTGGTAAGTTGTATTCTGTGTCACAACTGTAGAAGTAATGTGTCAAAACTGTAGTAATAATGTGTCAAAACTGTAGAAAAAAATTGTTAAAACTTGTGTCAAAACTGTAGGAATAATGTGTCAAAACTGTAGAAATAATGTGTCAAAACTGTAGAAATAACGTGTCATAACTGTAGGAATAATGTGTCAAAACTGTAGGAATAATGTGTCAAAACTGTAGAAATATGTGTCAAAACTGTAGAAATAATGTGTCAAAACTAGGAATAATGTGTCAAAACTGTGGGAATAATGTGTCAAAACTGTAGGAATAATGTGTCAAAACTATGAATAATGTGTCAAAACTGTAGGAATAATGTGTCAAAACTGTAGGAATAATGTGTCAAAACTAGGAATAATGTTGAAAAACTGTAGAAATAATGTGTCAAAACTGTAGAAATAATGTGTCAAAACTGTAGAAATAATGTGTCAAAACTGTAGAAATAATGTGTCAAAACTGTAGGAATAATGTGTCAAAACTGGAGGAATAATGTGTCAAAACTGTAGGAATAATGTGTCAAAAGAGTAGGAATAATGTGTCAAAACTGTAGGAATAATGTTGAAAAACTGTAGAAATAATGTGTCAAAACTGTAGAAATAATGTGTCAAAACTGTAGGAATAATGTGGAAAAACTGTAGAAATAATGTGTCAAAACTGTAGGAATAATGTGTCAAAACTGTAGAAATAATGTGTCAAAACTGTAGAAGTAATGTGTCAAAACTGTAGAAATAATGTGTCAAAACTGTAGAAATAATGTGTCAAAACTGTAGAAATAATGTGTCAAAACTGTAGGAATAATGTGTCAAAACTGTAGGAATAATGCGTCAAAACTGTAGGAATAATGTGTCAAAACTGTAGAAATAATGTGTCAAAACTGTAGGAATAATGTGTCAAAACTGTAGAAATAATGTGTCAAAACTGTAGAAATAAAGTGTCAAAACTGTAGGAATAATGTGTCAAAACTGTAGAAATAATGTGTCAAAACTGTAGAAATAATGAGTCAAAACTGTAGGAATAATGTGTCAAAACTGTAGAAATAATGTGTCAAAACTGTAGGAATAATGTGTCAAAACTGTAGAAATAATGTGTCAAAACTGTAGGAATAATGTGTCAAAACTGTAGAAATAATGTGTCAAAATAGAGATAAAGATGATGCAAACAATGACGTGTTTTACCTTTTGCGGCATTCTTTGTTCCAGCTAATCTTCAAATACGCTTGAATTCGACAACTCGTGGACGGGGTCGGGTAGAAGTACTTCACAACAATGTCTGGGGAACAGTTTGTAGAGGGTCGTCGTTTTCCTCACAGGAGGCACAAGTTGTGTGTAAAATGGCAAATCTGCCCTGGTGAGTACATCTTCGCACGACTATTCACCTTTTAAACTCGAGCTTAGTCATGGGTCTCATGAAGCCTACTTATTCATACTTCTCTAGCAATGTATTCATCTTGGTTTGATAGAGTTTGGTGCCAAAAGCGTTTTTCAGCTACATAAACTTCGTATGACTAAATCGACACCCGTCATATATCACGGTCACTTTAATTTCTATTCCCTTCTTATTTCAAAAACTAGTATCTGTTTACTAACGTAATAAGGTTCTTGCAAGTGATATTGTTAACTATTGAATCTAGAAGACCCTTACTGCATTAGGAATACATTGAACGTGTGAATTGTAAAGGTATTTCTTGGATGACAAAATAGACTCAACCTTTTGAAAATAACCTCTTTAATATACTTTTACAGTGAAATTTCGGTATAGATCCTTATATTGTTGGCAGCATAAGTAAAATGAAAATGACGAATTAGCAAGGCAATCATCTCTATGGTTTTCTAGGACGACCGCCTATGTGACTACATCTTTTGGACCAGGTGAAGGAATTATTTGGCTGAGTAACGTCGACTGTACGGGAACCGAGACCTCCCTGGATCAGTGTTCCCATTCTGGATGGGGAACAGCGACGAGCTGTTCTCACAGTAGTGATGTGGGCGTGGTGTGTCGTGGAGGTGGGTCAGAGACGTAGTAATGTTACCATGTTATGTCGTGGAGCTTGGTCAGAGACGTAGTAATGTTAGCGTGTTTGGTCGTGGAGGTGGGTTAGAGGTGTAGCTATGTTAGCATGTTTTGTCGTGGAGGTGGATCAGAGATGTAGTAATGTTAGCGTGTTATGTCATTGGTATGGGTCAGAAATGCCATAATGTTAACGTGTTATGACGTGGAGGTGGGCCACATATGTAGTAATGTTAGCGTCTTATGTTATGGGGGTGGGTCAGAGATGTAGTAATGTTAGTGTGTTATGTCATGGGGGTGGATCAGAGAGGTAGTAATGTTAGCGTGTTATGTTATAGGGGTGGATCAGAGAGGTAGTAATGTTAGGGTGTTATGTTTTGGGGGTGGATCAGAAACGTAGTAATGTTAGCGTGTTATGTTTTGGCGGTGGATCAGAAATGTAGTAATGTTAGCTTGTTATTTTATAGGGGTGGATCAGAGAGGTAGAAATGTTAGCGTGTTATGCTTTGGCGGTGGATCAGAAACGTAGTAATGTTAGCATGTTATGTTAAAGGGGTGGATCAGAGAGGTAGTAATGTTAGTGTGTTATGTTATAGGGGTGGATCAGAGAGGTAGTAATGTTAGCGTGTTATGTTTTGGCGGTGGATCAGAAATGTAGTAATGTTAGCGTGTTATGTTATAGGGGTTGATCAGAGAGGTAGTAATGTTAGTGTGTTATGTTATAGGGGTGGATCAGAGAGGTAGTAATGTTAGCGTGTTATGTTTTGGCGATGGATCAGAAACTTAGTAATGTTAGCATGTTATGTTATAGGGGTGGATCAGAGAGGTAGTAATGTTAGTGTGTTATGTTATAGGGGTGGGTCAGAGAGGTAGTAATGTTAGCGTGTTATGTTATAGGGGTGGATCAGAGCGGTAGTAATGTTGGCCTGTTATGTTAATGGAGGTTCAGAGATGTAGTAATATTGCCATGTTATGTTGTGGAGGTGAGTCAGAGACGTAGTAATGTTAGCGTATTCTGTCGTGGGGGTAGATTAGAGAGGTAGTAATGTTAGCGTGTTATGTTATAGGGGTGGATCAGAGAGGTAGTAATGTTAGCGTGTTATGTTATAGGGGTGGATCAGAGATGTAGTAATGTTAGGGTGTTATGTTTTGGTTGTGGGTCAGAGACGTAGTAATGTTGGCGTGTTATGTCATGGGGGTGGATCAGAGAGGTAGTAATGTTAGCGTGTTATGTTATAGGGGTGGGTCAGAGAGGTAGTAATGTTAGTGTCTTATGTTTTGGCGGTGGATCAGAGACGTAGTAAAGTTAGCGTGTTATGTTATAGGGGTTGGACAGATACGTAATAATGTTAGCGTGTTATGTCGTGGAGGTGAGTCAGAGACGTAGTAATGTTAGCGTGTTATGTCGTGGAGGTGGGTCAGATACGTAGTAATGTTAGCATGTTATGTCTTGGAGGTGGGTCAGAGACGTAGTAATGTTAGTGTGTTATGTCCTGGAGGTGTGTCAGATACGTAGTAATGTTAGCGTGTTATGTCCTGGAGGTGTGTCAGATACGTAGTAATGTTACCGTGTTATGTCATGGAGGTGGGTCAGATACGTAGTAATGTTAGTGTGTTATGTCCTGGAGGTGGGTCAGATACGTAGTAATGTTAGTGTGTTATGTCCTGGAGGTGGGTCAGATACGTAGTAATGTTAGCATGTTATGTCATGGAGGTGGGTCAGATACGTAGTAATGTTAGTGTGTTATGTCCTGGAGGTGGGTCAGATACGTAGTAATGTTAGTGTGTTATGTCCTGGAGGTGGGTCAGATACGTAGTAATGTTAGCATGTTATGTCATGGAGGTGGGTCAGATACGTAGTAATGTTAGTGTGTTATGTCCTGGAGGTGGGTCAGATACGTAGTAATGTTAGTGTGTTATGTCCTGGAGGTGGGTCAGATACGTAGTAATGTTAGTGTGTTATGTCCTGGAGGTGGATCAGAGACCTAGTAATGTTAGCGTGTTATGTCATGGAGGTGGGTCATACATGTAGTAATGTTAGCGTGTTATGTCGTGGAGGTGGGTCCGATACGTAGTAATGTTAGCGTGTTATGTCGTGGAGGTGGGTCACAGACGTAGTAATGTTAGTGTGTTATGTCCTGGAGGTGGGTCAGAGACGTAGTAGTGTTAGTGTGTTATGTCGTGGAGGTGGGTCAGATACGTAGTAATGTTAGCGTGTTATGTCCTGGAGGTGGGTCAGATACGTAGTAATGTTAGTGTGTTATGTCCTGGAGGTGGGTCAGATACGTAGTAATGTTAGTGTGTTATGTCGTGGAGGTGGGTCAGATACGTAGTAATGTTAGTGTGTTATGTCGTGGAGGTGGGTCAGAGACGTGGTAATGTTAAAGTGTTATGTTGTAGAAGTGGTTGAGAGACGTAGTAATGTTAGCGTGTTTTGTCATGGAGGTGGGTCAGATACGTAGTTATGTTAGCTTGTTATGTCGTGGGGGTGGGTCAGATACGTAGTAATGTTAGCTTGTTATGTCGTGGGGGTAGATCAGAGACGTAGTAATGTTAGCATGTTATGTCGTGGATGTGGGTCAGAGAGGTAGTAATGTTAGCGTGTTATATTTTGAAGGTGGATCAGAGATGTAGTAATGTTAGTGTGTTATGTCATGGAGGTTGGTCAGAGATGTAGTAATGTTAGCATGTTATGTCGTTGAGGTGGGGCACATTTGCAGTAATGTTAGCGTGTTATGTCGTGGGGGTGGGTCAGAGATGTAGTAATGTTAACGTGTTATGTCGTGGGAAGGGGTGGGGGGTGGGGGGTAGGGGGTGTCAAAGTTGTAGTAAAGTTACCGTGTTATGTTGTGGAGGTCGGTCAGAGACGTAATGATCTTAGCGTGTTTTGTCGTGGAGGTGGGTCAGAGGTGTAGTAATGTTAGCGTGTTATGTCCTGGTGGTGGGTCAGAGACCTAGTAATGTTAGCGTGTTATGTCGTGGAGGTTGGTCAGAGACGTAGCAATGTTAGCGTGTAATGTTATAGGGGTGGATCAGAGACGTCGTAATGTTAGCGTGTTATGCCGTGGAGGTTGGCCAGAGATGTAGCAATGTTAGCATTTTATGTCATGCAGGTGGGTCAGAGACGTAGTAATGTTAGTGCGTTATGTGGTAGAGGTGGATCAGAGACGTAGTAATGTTAGCGTGTTGTGTCGTGGGTATGGGTCAGAGATGTAGTAATGTTACCATGTTATGTCGTAGAGGTGGATCAGAGACGTAGTAATGTTAGGATGTTGTGTCGTGGGGGTGGATCAGAGATGTAGTAATGTTAGGGAGTTATGTCGTGGAGGTGGGTCAGAGATGTCATAATGTACGCGTATTATGTCGTGGTGGTGGATCAGAGATGTAGTAATGTTAGCGTGTTATGTTGTAGGGGTGGATCAGAGATGTAGTAATGTTAGCGTGTTATGTCGTGGAGGTGTGTCAGAGACGTAGTAATGTTAGCGTGTTATGTTGTTGGGGTGGATCAGAGATGTAGTAATGTTAGAATGTTATGTCCTGGTTGTGGGTCAGAGATGTAGTAATGTTAGCGTGTTGTTTCGTTGGGGTTGATCAGAGACATTGTAATGTTAGCATTTTATGTCATGGGTATGGGTCAGAGACGTAGTAATGTTAGCGTGTTATGTCGTGGAGGAGGGTCAGAGACGTAATAATGTTAGCATGTTATGTCATTGGGATTGATCAGAGAGGTAGTAATGTTAGCGTGTTATGTTTTGGCGGTGGATCAGAGATGTAGTAATTTTAGCGTGTTATGTCGTGGAGGTGGGTCAGAGATGTACTAATGTTAGCGTGTTATGTCCTGGAGGTGGGTCAGATACGTAGTAATGTTAGCGTGTTATGCCCTGGAGGTGTGTCAGATACGTAGTAATGTTAACGTGTTATGTTTTGGAGGTGTGTCAGAGACGTAGTAATGTTTGCATGTTATGTCGTAGAGGTTGGTCAGAGACGTTGTTATGTTAGCATGTTATGTCATGGGTATGGGTCAGAGACGGAGTAATGTTAGCGTGTTATGTCGTGGAGGAGGGTCAGAGATGTAGTAATGTTAGCGTGTTGTTTCGTGGAGGTGGATCAGAGACGTGGTAATGTTAGCATGTTATGTCATGGGTATGGGTCAGAGACGGAGTAATGTTAGCGTGTTATGTCGTGGAGGAGGGTCAGAGATGTAGTAATGTTAGCGTGTTGTTTCGTGGAGGTGGATCAGAGACGTGGTAATGTTAGCATGTTATGTCATGGGCATGGGTCAGAGACGTAGTAATGTTAGCATGTTATGTCCTGGTTGTCGGTCAGAGTGTTATGTGATGGGGACGGATCAGAGACGTAGTAATGTTAGCGAGTTATGTCTTGGTTGTGGGTCAGAGACATAGTAATGTTGGTGTCTTATGTCATGGGGTTGGATCAGAGAGGTAGTAATGTTAGCGTGTTATGTTTTGGAGGTGGATCAGAGACGTAGTAATGTTAGCGTGTTATGTCATGGAGGTGGGTCAGATACGTAGTAATGTTAGCGTGTTATGTCGTGGAGTTGGGTCAGATACGTAGTAATGTTAGCGTGTTATGTCGTGGAGGTGGGTCAGAGACGTAGTAATGTTAGTGTGTTATGTCCTGGAGGTGGGTCAGATACGTAGTAATGTTAGTGTGTTATGTCCTGGAGGTGGGTCAGATACGTAGTAATGTTAGCGTGTTATGTTGTAGAAGTGGTTGAGAGACGTAGTAATGTTAGCGTGGTTTGTCGTGGAGGTGGGTCAGATACGTAGTAATGTTAGCTTGTTATGTCGTGGGGGTTGGTCAGATACGAAGTAATGTTAGCTTGTTAAGTCGTGAGGGTAAATCAGAGATGTTGTAATGTTAGCATGTTATGTCCTGGTTGTCGCTCAGAAACGTAATAATGTTTGAGTGTTATGTGATGGGGACGGATCAGAGAGGTAGTAATGTTAGTGTGTTATGTTATAGGGGTGGGTCA